TATGGTGTCCATTAGGTCGCATCCAGTTGGACACTCTCAACTTCCATTCTCCATCCTGACCTTCGAGTATTTCAGTGTTCAATGATGCGTTCACGGCTATTCGCCCCTCCTAGTCATCGCTTCGCGATAACCCAATCGGGAAATTTTATTTCGTTCGTGATTAGGCCCCGCAACCATGAAGGGGATACATCTCGTCGAAGAGTGCATGAATGCGTGGCATTGAGAGCTAACACTTCTAGCTGGAGCACTCCGCCTTACCCTCATCTCTGCGCCCGTCCTCTAAAATCCTCTTTTGCTCCTTTTCCATTCTTTAAGATCGTTGTGTTACATATTTTTTCGAAGGAAAAAATCTTGCTTTCATGAAAACAATAATGAAATCTTGTTTCAAGCAGTTAATCACTTATGGCCTAATGTGTGCATTTGCACACCACGAACCTCACCATACGACTCCACTGTTATTAACTTGCTGAAATTGTTGTGGTTGACCAGACTAGCAAAAATGCTGATTTGATGTGTTTTACACGCGCCTAAATCAGCTCTTTGTTATTGGAGGTTGTAAAGAAAGTCGTGAGTTGTGCATGGTGTGCAGCAAACACATCAAATTATGAATCATTCAGCTCTGAGACAAATTGTGTAATTCCTTATCTTTAGCTTTTAGAAGTTAAGCCTTATGCCAATTGGGTATTTACCCCTCTTTTATTTGTCTTATGTCCTTCGCTCCCAAATCTCTTCGATTGAGAACCAAATGTTGCTGATGAAAACCTGCTATCATTTTTTTGCGGATTTTGCCTCTTACGGTAGCCACATTCTATTGAGGAGGTCATGCTTCTGCGTGCAAACTCAAAAACTGCAGATATACCGGGCCTTAACTCAGATAAGCGTATTTTTAGAAGATCGCGAGGAAATTGAGCAATTTGAATACAAGAGGAGCGAACAATTATTTCCCGTCTGTCTTGACTGGCTGGCTTTCCTAAACACTTTCCTGGGAGTGCCCCCCCCATGAACCTCTTCTTTGCACATGTTTAGCAGGCGATCACAGCTGGAAAACAGAAACTGGGTTCATATATTTTCAAGTAATTTGCCCCAAGAGTATATTAGAAAGCTTGCAGCACGGAAAACAACAAACATCAGGATAATGGCAAGAGTGACAAACTTTCGAGAAAGGATAGTTTCTTTTCGGAAGAAGATATCCATATATCTGGCCTCAAGAAAAATTAGGATCGTCTTTTACCTTCGCTAAGATAGTTGGGGCGGGGGGGGGGGGGCAAAGATGAAAAAGATGTTTTTTCTTCTGTTGAATGTTTGATGTGCAAGTTGCTGATGCAGTCATACTTCAGTAGGACATGCGACAATGGCGTCGTCGCTTCCTTTTGCGTCGTCTTTCTTCCGCTGGACTCCTCTTTTGCATCCCTTCTTCTCCCCCCCCCCGTTCCCACCCACTCCCACGTCTAAATCTTTCAAATGCCGTCTTCAAGCCCGTCATATGCAGGCTCGCATTTTGTTTCTATGACGATTCTCATTTCCTATGGCTCAAGTACCTTTCTTATGGTGAATTGAGTACTTTCAATAATTTTCTTTACTGCCTCTGTCATTATCTCACTTGTCTTTTTAGAGCTCTAATGGACGCTTAAAATCGATTCTGTTCAAGAATGATATTTAGGCCCGAATGCACTAACATCCCTGCGGCGAGGGGAGCGACGTCCCCAATGATGTAAAAGTCGTAGCGGCGTCCGCACGCGACCCCTTCATAATGGGGGATGCCGCTCCCCTCGCCGCAGGGATGTTAGTGCATACGGCCCTTAGAGAACAACTTTTTGATTTGAAGTACATTTTCAGCCTACGCTTAGTCTTCATAATCAAAATTATAATAGCTTCAAAAGATTATTTTGTTTGTAAGTTTTATTTAATTTGAGCGTTTAAAGAATGCGAAAACCCCTTCTAAACTCTTGGCGGATAGTTTGCTGGCGAAAAAGCCGTTGCATTGACACGGATTTCTTCAAACTGTTCTGATAGAATAGTATTTGAATTACTGAAATAGCAGCGACGGGGTTTCGCGGTTGGGAGGGAATATTTTGTTTTTCAAAGTGTATTTATCTAGCAAAATCTATTGCGATGTAGCTAATAAAAATTCCGTTTTGAAAATGGGTATATGAGCATTCACGATATACAATTAATATAAGAGAATGTGAAAATTTAGCTTAAGTCGACCACTATACTACACCTTATGGGAATTTTGCATCAAGAAGTTTTCTATTTTAAACTTGCTAACTCGTGTGCAAAAATATATAAGCACTATGCCCTTCTGTAGAAAATTTAGATTATTTTAAAAAGTCAATCTGTTTCTAGACTAAAACTTTATTTATGAATTTTCCAAAGTCTTACCTTTCTTAGTCTAGAAATTTCGTCAACTGTAAAGAGGAAATAACATGAGATTTGTAAATCGAAGATGGATAGCGAGATTACGCTGTCAGGAATTCATTTTTCTTGTTCATGATTGTTTAAGAGCGGGATTATAGCAGCTAGGAGAAGATCAGTGTCTTTTCTAACAACAAGATGGGGAATTATTTTTTGATCTTTGTAACCAACTTATATGCTCGATTGTTACTGAAAATTCTCAATAAAGAGATATAAATGCTGACTTTATTGGTAAGGAACAAACTGCATATAAATTTGAATCTTCACGAATTTAGGTGACAATCAAAATGTTGAAAGCTTGAAAAATTCACAAGGCTGCCTGACTTATAATTTTCTTAACTCTCTCTTCCCTATTATTTTGGAGTAAAACTTCAGTTCAATTCTAATCTATGTTTTGTGCTAGGCTTACGCTATCACGTGATGGAAATTGAGGAAGAATTAATGTGTTTTGGTCGTTGATAATCGTTGCTCTGATGATTTGTGCTCGTCAATGTGCATTCATTTGCTACCTCATTATTATGGATATGAAGAGGCGGAAGCTAATAATTTGCTTGCGAAGGATCTGATGGGTGTAGATATTGTAAATGTACCCGGACGACCATAACTTGATAATCTTATTCTTGTGAGCTGATCGGAACAGTTAGGAATCATTCCATTCCATGTACAAAATAATGTTTCTGAACAGTTCAAGAGTTACTTATTTGTGCGAATGAATCTTCGTAGACAATTTTTTGAAAAACTCACAAATCTGATTTGGCAATATTTGTGAGATATCTCATGTTCGCGTTATTCTTTTACAGAGATGTATTGGGATTTTCAGGTAATGAACTACAGCAGAGAATATAAGAAATTAAGGATTGAAGGACTGTATCATGGCCATAAACTTTGGGCTTAATAATAGATGCTTTTTGTTGTAATTATGTTAAATCAAACCATAGAATATTTTTAGAAAAAAGAAATAGAACTTCCAAGTTCTAATGCCTCTAGATCTGTCCTAGTTTTTTTACAATGCCTTAATAATCAAAAGAACAATAAGATTCAAGACTGTTTTGTTGACCTCCGTTTTGAAACATACTTCTGATCAACTTTTTATTCGAAAGAACGCTTCAAAAAGATTATCCTCGAGTTTTTTTGTAATTTACTTTGTGAGACTGCAGACTATGCGCGGTAAACTGACGACAACCTTATTAGTAACTCCTCAGAAAAACCAATCAATAATTATCCAATCAAATCAAAGGCAAGAAAACAAGAAAAATTAGTGGAAATGCGCAGATTCTGATCTTAAAGTACGTCATTTAGGCTGTGCGATACACATATCAAGGACAGCATCCACTCAAACCTTCGTCTTCCATGTTTTGCCATTCGGGGCCTTTCGGTAGCCCTGATTGCAAATATGAAGTGCAAACTATGCAAAACTCCCAACAACCCATTTCTGAGAACCGCTACCTTGAAAGCGCAGGTCTTTCAGTACGTGGGTGGGCGGGGCTTGGTAGAGTGGGCGTGGCTTGATAGCATTTTTGCGGGTTCCAGGTTAAATTTTTCCTCCATAGGCTACATTAGAGGACCGGAACGCAGATATTCTACTTTGGCTATAAATATGTAAACTATAGCTTGATACGTCATTTATCGATTTTATTTGTTGTTTTCCTCTTCTTCTTTTTACTTCTTAATTGCACGGCGATTTCGGAGATAATGTAATGACCTTATAGGGTAGACCTAGCTTCGCCCTTTGTATGCCTTCAGATGCAATCTCAGATCAACTAGAATCTAGCCGCTAGGCTTTGCTCCAAGCTCCTCCCTCGCCGTTCTCTCCCCCCCCCCCCTCCCTCCCTTCCTTCCATCTTCTGAGACTGCGGAACTTTAGTTGGTGTTACTCGCCATTTCTATTGGAAGTTTTTCTTGCAGTTATTAGAATTCATGAAAATAATTCGATTTTAACAGTGTAACTCTGCAAAACTTGATAAATCAGTTTTACATCCAACAAAAGATTTGTTTTCAATGAGTCCAATGGAAATATTTTAGAAAATTTACTGAGTTAGATATTTGATAGTTAAAGCCTATAGAAATTTTTTTAAGAAAACAAAAACAGTTGTGGGAAATCTTCAACAACATATCGGTCTAAAAAGGCCTCGAAATGGCATTTGGAACCTAAACTGAAATCATAGTCTGCTGCCTTATCTTGTTTTGTGAAAAAAATGTTTTTGTTATTAAGTTTGTCGGAAATCAAGCAAGGAGCACTTTTCCTTTAGCCGTTTACTGATTTATACAATCAAACATACATGCTATTTTACCTAAAGTTTTATTTACTCATTCGTTCTATTCTTACAATCATTTTCCCGTTTACTGTACGTAGTTCATTCGATCCTTTCTTTCAAAAATTTTAGTTGATATCCATATCCATTTCTCCACCTCATTCAAACTGATTTGAATTTAAATATGATTTTTATCTAGTACTTTTTATTGAACTCTCTCGAACTCATCCTGTAACCTTGAGTCATACGTACAAAACCAATTTTGCACCTTCTCATGTCAAGCCAGTAAGTTCAATTGAAAATTGCAAAAATTTTATCAACCTTGATTTTCAGGCTCTGGCGACGCTGTGGGTGAAATTACCTGGCAGCTATCAAGATCTGGCCGATGCGACCAGAGACTATCCGCCGGGCGGAGCTTACATGGCCTACTTACATTCGCTTCCACAACGTGCCACTAGCAGTACCAGCCTGCTAAGGTGACTTTTTTAGAGATTACCTTTTTTTAAAAAGGTTATAGTTTTTTCCATGTAAAAACGGCTTTTTTCGTACAGTTCTCGGCCGCGCGCTGTGATTGGCCAGTCGCGGCGGCGATTGGTCAATCTACGAAAAGGGCGGAGCAAGCCGCAGACGAATAGTAGTAGTAGTGGCGAACGCATGCGTTGCATACACTTTTTTTGCATTTTTTTATACCAGCATGTTGAGAAGGGGTTGATGATCTTGCTCCCTGTATATACGAGGTAACTCGTCCATTTCAATTCCTTCCGCCGCAGCGGCAACATGAACACTGCGCATAATCCGCAAGAGTTCTGCCTTTCTCAACATTTTCTTCTATTTTATGGATCGCGTTCCAGATTCAATTGAGATTGGGGGGGGGGGGGAGGACATCATAATGACGTCATCGAATTTTTCGCTAGATCTTCAATGACTTGCCCGCCAGATTGAATCTCTTACTTCAATGTCTTCATCAGCTCCTTCGACTCAACACACTTTACTAGGGTGTTGATGTTTGCTCAGCACATACGTGTGTGCCGCTCATTTTTTCTTTCCTCTTCATACTGTAAACAATTAGTGTGAGGAAGAGAAGAATCACGAGCATTGTTGACGTCTCAGAATCACGTACGAGACGAGTAATGACGCTTACTCCGCTTTCATTGCGTCGCCTTTTGCATCGTATAGGTGATGTATGAAACCTGCACCAAGATACTTTCATTTTGCAGAAACATCTTAGAACCCCCTGTTTTGAGAATATTGAGCTGAAATAGAATGATCAGTGTGTGGCTGGATAAGCTACAAGAGAGTAAAATGCAAAATGATCTATAAAAAGAAGCCCAAGATGGGCTGTCCAAGAGCCCAAGAAGCCTAATTTTGGACCACTGAACAATGGTACGTGAAACGTGCTTTCCAATGAAGTGCTTTGCTGGACCAGTTCTCTCTATTTTCTTCATTCAATCACTATAAATTCGCTTTTATCTGTTTTTTTGAAAAGTAATCATCTCAATACGTTGCTTAGCGAATAATTTTAGAGAAATTTAGTGATGTTAATCTCCAGGTTAGCAAATTTTGATTCAACTTTTCTTCTCTTTGGTGAAATAAGTTACAGTTTTGTTTTCAGTAGAAATAGTTCTACAGGGTGTCCCAAAAAGATGTGCACACTGTTTGATTGTTAATAACTCTTGCTTTCATGTCTTTAGCCGAGCTTGAGGTGTCATTCTGTAGAGCGAGCATAAACTTAGATTTAGGGTATGAAGGGACTTATCAGCCGCTTTTCATTACTGTAGGCTTACGGTAGGAATTTCGGGGAGGATTTTAAGCCATTGAAAGCGGTATTTTGCCTCAGAAAGGAAGCCAAACAAGCCAAGAACTCTTGAACTGGGTCAATCGAAGTTGCTGATTCCAAATATGAAAATTGCACGTCAGTACACTGTTTCCTTCATGAGTTATGTCAGATTTAGGGTAACAAGTGATTTTCAATTGTTTGTCAGAAATGTGAATGCGCCATCAAGAAAGCTCGAAAAACTGGTGGAAATTTATGTAGTGAAATCAGCACGCCTGAAAACCTTGCTGCACCAATTTCCAGATTTTTTCGAAATTATTTCGTCAAAGACCTATTCCACAGTGCCGCTGTATGCTAAAAGTACATACCGTAATCTTACAGTAATGGAGAGTACTAGGTTATTTGCTCCATACTGTAAATCTAAGTTTATCCTTGCTCTACAGAATGGTACCTCATGCTCGGCAAAAGACATGAAAGCAAGAGAGTTATTAATGATCAAACAGTGTGCACATCTTTTTGGGACACTCTGTACAATTTTTTTTACTTTAATATGCGGTGTTTAATATGCGGTGTCTATATGTTCAGAAGATTTCAGCACAGAAAGCTAATAAACCAAGCCTAAAAACCTTTTGTCTGTCTTCCACTTTTGTTTTACCGTAACCATTCTCCTTCATTCTTGTTTGAGTTTCTAAAAGTACTGCATTACTCAGATTTTTTGCATTCAACGCTTCATGCAGAGGCTGGAAATCCATCCTCTATCGTAAAAGCGAACTGTTTATTTCCTAGTCAACAAAGGCTATGGTTTTGAAGAACCTTTTTTACGCAAAATATTTTCTTTTAACAATTTAAAAAATTGTTTTTGTTTAAGCTATCTTCCAAATCATCACAGCAATGAGACGAATTTCTATTCATTTCACTCTCGCTTTCTTTAATTGCTCTTGTCTCCTGGCTTTTCTTGAAAAATACGTCTAGACCTCAAACCCTTATGCGTTTGAAAGCGCTGTTTCCGACCTCTGGACGAAAAGAAAAGCATCAATAAAATGACTCTGCTTTACTGCGCGGCGTATATCAAAAAATCTTTTCCACGGAATGAAATGAGGACCAGTTTACTATTGTGCATCTTTAATCAAAGATACTATGAAAATTGGCAATGTGCTGAGTTTGAGAATTCGAAGGTACTACAGCGAATAATGTTTTCAAATATTTCCAGGGAAGGACGGAGCGATGATGGCATACCGTCATATGAAACGGGTTCAATGACTTCATTACGACGTAATGCTATCAATCCAGACGATGAGGGACAGTTACCGGATACTAAAAGGCATAAGAAAACCAGTGTTGGTGAGTATTTTATCAATGAAAGCCCTTTACAAACTTGATGAACTTCTGAAGTCTAAATCATAATCTTACTTTGTGCATCTTTTCAAACCTAATCACCTCTTTCTAAGGTGTCATTTTTGCAATTTCATAAGAACTTCGCTCCAGTGGACCTTAGTAACAATAAGTAATTGATTTGAGCTTTACTTTTATCACTGAAAGATTTGTGGTCTTTCCAAAACAAAGATTTTATTGAATTCCTTTTGCGTAGTATGTTTTACCGGTAACTTTCCAAAATTTTTGGTTTATCCCTCGCTTGTAGTATTTATCCTTAATCTCCTGCTTACTCAACCTTTCTCGAAAATTCCTGTAGAATTGCATTTTGTTGTCATCAACATGGTTTCAATTTTATCTAATTAAAGTGCTATAGTGAAGGCTACAACAAAGATGATGAATTAATCAAAATTGGATGTTGGTGTTTGTACAAAAATGATGAAATTTCCCTTTTTTGAACTATAGAGAGCTATAAAGAACTGTGCGACAATGTATCAGTGAAATTCTGCTGTTATATAAAAGTCATTATCACTAATCACTAATACTTTATATTTATTTATTTATTTATTTATATAATACACAAGAGTGTGCCACAAGGAAGAACAAAAAAAAACAAAAAAAAGAACACAGGGTGGGATTGGATCACTTCGTCCCTTGCTGGATGATTAAGGTCGCTCTCCATCTCCAAGAAGTGAGTGGAACTCCACCGAAATCCTTTTCCCTTACCCGAACGCAGAGGAATGTAAGCAATCACCAGGGCTTGGCTGACCAACTTAACCCCAGACGGACGAATCCGCCGGGGACCCTGGGCGAGCGAGAAGGGGGGGATCTCAAGGCAGAGTGCTCACTGGTCTTCGATCTCCTCAAACGGCTGTCCAAGCTAGGAGAACTTTCCAAACCCTTGAATAGATTGGTAGACTGTAAAAAGGCTCGTTAACTGCAAAACATCTGTCCAAAACACAAAATTCTTCAAAAAACTTGCTTACATCCTTCTAAAAAATTGTCTCGACATGCATGGCTCAATCTCCATACTAGGCATATAGATCTGGCAGAATCAATCACGTATCTGCGTGCCATAAGTCATTAGTGGTGATAAGATGGGGCATCAATCACCAAGCGCAACGACAAACGCAAATCTAACGCACATATCCAGCAAAAGAAGACCACACAGTGCGCATGAAAGTAAAATTCATGGATTCCTTCAAATTTGCTCGAATCGTTGGTAAACTGACTTGCTCAAAAGTTCCAAAAATGTAGCAATCGTACAAACTGTTTCCACAGTTAGAAATTTGTGCAAGATTAGCGTATGTTCTTGTGAGTAGTTGAAATCTAGTGTTTAGAAGTCAACTATGTTCAAAGTTTGCATAACGTCTATGGTGCCTAGCTTTTTGCGAAATTCTAAAGAGTTTTTGCAAGAAGTTATCTCATTCGGGAGCCGACTAAGCCATCTGGCTGTGCGACAAACGAAAGAGTTGAAGGAATTTGAAAGAGTCCTGTTCCCTAGTTTGCGATATCCCAATGCAAAACCTCCTGTTCGGTTTCCACAAGGCCTGAATACCCAATATTTGCTTGGTCTCAGTCTAGTTTCCAAGCGGATAATGCGAAAACAAAAAATCAAATCATTGCAAATTCTTCTGTATTTTAGACTGCGTAGACCCAAAGCGGATAGTCTCATATTGTAAGTAGGCAAAGACTGAGGATAATCGGATCTAGGATAGCATCTGTAAAAATTATTCTAGTGAACGCTTTCTGAACCTTCTCTAGCTTTTCCATATTCTTCTTCAAAAAAGGATTCCATACGGGGGACGCGTACTCCAGAAGTGGTAGAACATAAGTCTTGTACAAACGTACTAGGAGGTCTGCATCATTGCTGTGAATATTTCTTAGAATAACAAAGAGGACGGATAGGGCCTTTTTAGTGACTGAATCATACTGTAAAGAAAAACTGAGCTTATCGTCAACAAGAACGCCTAAATCTCTAGTGGCACTGCAATGCTCAAGATCTATTCCGTCGCACACGTACGTGTGAGGTGGACAGTTTCCCAGATGCATGACTTTCGATTTGAGAGCATTAACTGGAAGACCCCACTCTTTAGACCAAAGTACCATCTTGTTTATTGAAGAAGAAACCGCTTCAAATGCTATGTTCGCCTCTGCTTCTTTGTAACAAAAGTAAATTTTTATGTCATCTGCAAAAACCTGAATCTTGACACTGGGATGCGTTTTCAAGAAGGCTGGTAATTCTGCAGTGTAAGTAAGGAAAAGGAGTGGTGATAGTATACCACCTTGGGGCACTCCGCTGCTGCAAGAAAAACGACTTGAAAAACTGTTCCCAACACGGGTAGTTATCCCTCGATCTTTTAGGTAAGATGCTAACCAAGCAAGCAACTGACCGCGTACGCCATAGTTTTCGAGTTTCAAAAGTAACTTAGAGTGTGAAACTCTGTCGAATGCTTTAGATAAATCGAAAAAGACAATGTCCACTGATTCACCTTTATTCATAGCGGTGACCCAGTCATAAAGCGAATCTGAGAGTAGTGCAGTGGTGGATCCACCAGGAAGGAAGCCGTTTTGAACTGTTGGAAAAATTTTGTTCTTCTCTAGCCATTCATACAAAGTCTCCTTTATAAGTTTTTCCAATATCTTTCCAGCGGGCGCAGTGATGCTGATTGGGCGAAAATTGGAAAGAGCATTGCTGTGCCCGTTTTTAGGTATGGCTGTCACAAGAGCTTCTTTCCAGATTTTTGGTACTTCTCCAAATAGTAAAGAGGCGTTGTAAATGAAGGTCAAAGGGTAAGCTAAAGCATGAGCACATCTACGGAAGATTATTTGTGGAATTCCATCATATGCGAGAGTCGTTGTTACTTTCAGTTTTCTTAGAATGTCATAAACTTTCGTGGGTTCAATGTACATATTTGGACAGGAGGAACTGATTCTTACAGTAGTACGACACAGAAAATCCTCATTTTCTTGAGTGCACAGAGAGTTCTCACTGAAAAAGCAAGCGAAGTAATTCGCAAGCGCTTCAGCTTTGTCTTTTTCGCTTATAAGTAAATGTCCTTCCTCATCTTCTAAGTTGAAAATCTTTTGTTGCCCTTTTGTTACATTTCTAAGAAATCCGTAAAGCTCTCTAAAGTTATATCTAGAAAGACGTCGTTCCCGATTTTCCAAGTATTTTTTGATGTGATGGTTAATATCTTTACAGACCTTTCTGTAGTAAACATTATGCAGGGGATCACGCAACTGTGAAAAAAGTCGAGATTTTTGTTCCAGTAAATTTCGAATGTGAACCGGGTAGTTCTGAGGTTGAGAAGGCGAGAAACGGAATGGGACATGTTCAGCGAAGATTACGTACAGTTTACTGCAGAAGCGTCTGTAAAGATCTTCAACATTTTCGTAATTTTCAAAAAGACGGAACCAGTTGATTTCTTCGAGAGCTTTATTGATTTCTAAGAAATCTGCTTTCCGGAAGTCCGGGTACGGAATGAAAGTTTTTCTGCTAACATTGAATTTCGCGTTAAATTGAATTACATTATGATCCGACGTGCCAAAATGCGGGAGGACCTTGACTTTTTCGACAACGCTGGGAGAAGAAAATATCAAATCAATAGCTGCCTCCCCTCTGGTTGGTAAGGTCACATGTTGCTGAAGATCACAACCATATAAAAATGAGAGCAAGCTGTTGTTGACAGGAGTAGAAGACAAGATATCAAAATTGAAATCTCCCAAAACGATAGTTGTAAGTGGAACAGAACACAGATCTTGGATAGTATCTGTCAAAAAAGAATCATCATAAACATTGGAAGACGGGGGACGGTACACAACAATAAATCGCAGGGGAGAGAGAGAAGATGAAGACCAGATGTTGAGGCAGAGAATTTCCCACTTACTATCATTGGGGGCAGGCACCTTTTTCACAGCAAAATCCTCCTTGATCAAACAACATACACCGCCACCCCTACCAAACGCTCGATCAGTGCGATAAAGAGAATATGGAAGATCTGCAATAATTTCCGAGTCAAGAATCTTGGGGCTGAACCAGGTTTCGGTAATGCACACAACGTCAGGTACGTGGGTAACTAAAAAAGCATGTAGAATATGTATTTTGTTAACTAAACTGCGAGAATTGAAAAGAAAACATGTAAGAAATGCAGAAACTTCAGGCGGATTTACGCGTTTCCCTGTACATGACGCTGAGGAAGCTCCGTGATATGACGGAGTTCGCCCTTATACACAACCCATTCCCTGGTCGTTTTCCCTCTATTTCTTTCCCTAGCCGTCTGTCTCAACTCATAATCTTTGGCCCGTTCAGAAGCGGTCATGCTTCTACGGACGTACACGCTCCGTAGGTCGGAATGCCGCAGAAGATGAGAATTTGACAGCGCCTGGGTCCAGAAACGACGTGAGGGGAAAACGATCTTTACTAGCCTTGGTTTGATCCCATCGTATTTGCCCATGCGATAGACTTCTGCGGGCCAGCAGTCTACTTGAAGAGTTTCTAAAACCTTGGCTACCCCTTTTTCGAGCTCAGCTTTCCGCTCCAGAAGTGGCTTGCCGGGCTCAGACTCCTCCAGTCCGGCCAGGACTATGCTTCTGCTTCTTTTTTCGGCCTCGACATCTGGTGGAATCTTCGTTTTCAATGCCAGGAGCATTCTTTCTATTATTGGATCGGAATTCCTCTCCAAAATTGAATGAATCAGCTCCATAGCAGAGAGATTACCTAGATCATCGTCATCGGCCCTACTGACGGTCAAGTCACTTCGAGCAGCTTGACTCTGAGAAGCAGAAACATTTTTCCTAGCGCTGCGAGTAACAGTAGCCTGAGTGTTTGACCTACTGGAGCGGGAAGGCATGAGTGAGGCTATCGATTGAGGGAAATTCAAAAACTAGAAAACTCGATTTATGCTGTGTATGAGACGATAAAAGGAAAACAAATTGGCTATGGTGATAAGAGAATTGGAGAAATGACAATATATAGGCAAAGAATCCGGAGAAATGAACAAGAATGTAAGAAAATGGAATTTTATGCAGAGCAGTGACAAACGCAGCCGCTCACGGTCACTGTTGTTATGGATCTTCAGGGTGTCCCAAAAAAATGTATCGAACGTTTGATCATTAATATCTCTCTTCCCAAGAAGTTTTTTGCCTTGCTTTAGGTACCGTTTTGTAGAGCTGGCTTCAGCTTAGATTTGCATTATAGAACGAATCACCCATCTCTCTTCACTACTGTAGGATCACGGTAGAAACTTGAAACATATGGTGTCAATGTGGTAAAAGCTGCAGTTTCAAAATTTTTCAAAATGTGAAAACTTGTGTATTGGGGTTTTTATGGACGCTGATCCAATACTCAACTATTTACAAGATTACGAAGCTTTCTAAACGGTGTAACCGCACTTTTTGGGAACATTGAAAAAATGGCCGCTACCTCTTGCCTGGCATAACTCTTTAATGAAGCGTCATAATTGATTGGGAACTTTACAGTTATAATCAGCAACTCTAATTGGCCTAGTGTAGAAGTTTTCAGGCTTGTTTCCTTTCTGGGGCAAAATATGGCCTTTCATTGCTTGAAACCCTCTTTGAAGTTTCTACCGTAATCCTACAGTAATGAAGAGAGATGAGTGATTCGTTTTATAATGCAAATCTAAGTTGAAGCCAGCTCTACAAAACGGTACCTGAAGCAAGGCAAAAGACTTCTTGGGAAGAGAGATATCAACGATCAAACGTTCGATACATTTTTGGGACACCCTGTATATATACTCTTTCCATCTCTGAGATTAGTGGCTTCACGATTTTTGTTGATTTTCGGTTTTTCCTTTCCTTTATGTCAAAATCTATAACACAAAATAAAATGAATACATGCAAAGAATGGCTATTGCTATTTATAATTTATAATGAAAAATGTGCAATCTTTGTAAACACATTTTCAAGTATTACGAAAATGTCTTAGATTGGTGCGACTTTTTGTCGCACACTTTGTCATGACATGATAATTGGAATATCTAAAAATGGGCAGATTACTGTAACAGTACTGTAAGATATGTTTAGCTGGTCGATTATACGAGACATCTGAATTATCGGAGACGGCTCTATCGCACTGCGTCCAACGAACCGTACAACCGTCGAAATGCAGTCATTGCGATACCCTCTCGATTCTCTATACAGTACAATGTATAGACTGCGGAGCACAATGGCACAAAACTTGTTTTCCAAAGGTTCGTCAAGTTTTTCGTTTTCACATCTTAACTGCTCTCTTTGTTTTGGACTTGTTCATAAATAAATATGTACCCTCCTGAGAATACGAATATACCGTTCCCTCTTTGAATTTTTTTTACCTCATGCAGAATCGATTGCAACTTAAATTGACAGCATAAAGATACTCATTAAGTTTCTCTTCGTTACTGGATCATGGTCTAAACAAGGGGAAAGATTTTGTGCGTTAAAAGCCAAAATTCTTCTTGAAACACTCTTAAAAACTTGATATTTCCGTTACTATATAAGTAGCCAAGTGATTTACAAAAAAAAATTTATTATTTGCCATAGTCTTTCTTTCAAGAAATAGGATAGATGTACTGTAGCCATTTTCTCAACGTTCCTCAAAAATTGATTGTACGACATAACCGACTTCATAATTACATAGTTTGTTTTCAAAGTCAGATAGAAGTCGAAAAGTTTCCCACAAATTTTGAAAACTTTCGAAATTAACAAAAAAATTTTTTATAATTCATTGTGGCCTCAAAGTGCAGGGGATTTTTGTCGTATAACAGTAACGAAGATGGATCTTTCAGTCTTTTTACTATCCAGAGGTTGTTCAATATGTTGAAGCGAAAAATTCATCCTATGGTGCATATCCATATGAAGCGTTCTGTAGTGCACTTGCACTGCAAACAACATTTATCTGTAAAAAAATGATATGCTGCGGAACATTCAAATTATGCTTACTGTAGCGTACTGCTTACTTTTGCGCGAAGCGTTAGTCACTGCTAATCTCAAATCTAGTGGGCCTTATTAGAAAAGAAAAGGAAGCATGAGCACTTCCAAATTCCTCTTCAGTTTTTCCTCACTGATTGTTTTCCTACAAGCCCGTAAAATTTTCTGTGAAAAAATTCCTGAAAATTAGAAATAACTGTACCTATAAACTTTTCTGCTGCTCTTGCGTTTATGCTCATTCCTTTGTGCTTACGAGGTGCGTCTTGGACGATATGGGAACCTCGATATGACGCAAACGTCATCTGCTCTTTTACCTCATTATCGGGAGTGCCCTTGATGATGACGAGCACGTCTATGCGAGAATCCTGATGTATGAGAGCATAGAGAACATAAAAGGTTGATTTTACAAAGTCTGGAGCTGGGAGGGGATTAGCTGGTTGGGGAAAGAGATTTTTCCCCTGATATTTTAAGAGTGTTGAGACAGGTTCTTCAGCCTGGAAATTCAGAAAGGTCTTGGAATTCATGCCTCAAGGCATCTGTTCAGAAACTGCTGCTCTCACTCTTATGCTGCTCTTACTCTCTTCCCTTCTGATGACCAAATATCTGCGCCAACAACTGATTTTGTTATGTTCAGACTACGCAAATATGCGGACAATCAGCACAATCAGCGGGTGGAGATCGTCGTATGAGCATATTTGGAGTTTCACTTCGTGGACATTTGGAATTACAACAACGAAATGTTCCACTGATACTGGAGTTGACGATTGACGAATTGCAAAAACGTGGAATGCGTGTCAAAGTAGGTCCATTCTTATTCATTCGCTAGCTTAGTACCAACGGTGTTAGCGGTGCCTCCCATTTTCTTAAATGAGGAAAATGGTTGTCAAATACAACCTGAGTAAATATAAAATGGGAAAAAATGAGCATTGATATTTTGCTTGATCTCGGCTCTCAAACATAGACGGAGGATGGGGGGGGGGGGGGGGGGGTGGTGGTGTTCGAGTGGGTACGGTAGTGAAAGTAAACCCAAACTCAAACACGAAAATACTTTGACACAAGCTTCTGCAGGGTTTTGTCAAAAAGTTTGATCCAATTTTGGTGAAGATCATATGTTTTCTTTATGAAGAAGTTATACTCTTTGAGGACATTTCCACAATACGCTTTTAATGTGAGTATAGAATTTTAAAAGATTCTCAGCTAGGAAGCTTATGAGATTTGCTAGCGAGGAGGGTATTAAAAAACACGAATTCGAGTGCCGAAATAGAAGCCGGGGGACCCACTTTTTCGTATGTAGCCTTGGATTTTCTTGTATGGTTTTGAGCTACCATCGCGCAGCCGTAGCCACAACTATTTGATGTGTATAGATATCTAACTCAAATTGTTTAGGGCATTTATCGAACCTGTGGTGTCAAATCGAAGATTGAAGAGATTTGTGAAGCGTTTGAACGATGCCAAGGTGAATCCAAGGTTGATCTTGAGCATGTTCATCCGATGAATCTTGCATCCGTCATCAAGTTATATCTGAGAAAACTTCCCGAACCCTTGATGACATTTGAAGCGTATAATGATTGGATTCGGTTTGGAAAGGTAGATAGATTTACTTCGGTTTTTTTTGGTTTTGTAAATGTAATTTTTCTAGAAATGCACCGGAGAACCTGATGAAGCTCAATTAGAAGAGTTAAAACGATTGTGTCGACGTTTGCCACGATGTAATTATGAGACCTTAAAACACTTGATGCTACATTTGAATCGCGTTACTTGGTGAGTGCAAGTCATATCAATTTTTTTGAGTTCTGCTGAGTCGTTGAAAACAATGCCGAGAAAGTTTAAATTTCAAGATTTTAGAAAGTTACGACAGCAAAATTCAATAAGCTACGTCCGTCTCTATACATAGCAGTATTTTCGATTCCAAAAACATTTTCGAAAGCTTGGTTACCAACTTTTAATTCTCGATTTCGTTCATCACATGACCGGAGGACGGTGGACCGATAAAATCATTTTTTCTTCAAGAAGTTTTTTCTCATGATCAACCGCTGGTTTAAAATCATCTCGAAATTGATGTGTTACTTATAAAACTGATAGATCAAAAGTCAACCATGATGAATTTTCATGTTCTCTCTACTCTTCTAGCACATCTTTGATTTGGATTTTCTACAATTTCTTGACCTGCATATCTCAAAGATTTTTTCAAGGTTCCATGACTCAAATTTGATGTGCTCGTCAAATTTGTCAACTGTCGTGGCGCCATCGTTGATCTGGGAAGCTTCTGCGTCAGCTGATCACACTGCAGCAATCACTGATGCTCAACATGCTAATAAAACTGTGCAATGTTTCATTACGAATGCTTTTGTGAGTTTTTTGTTTCATCAAATCTGTACGTAGCTCGGCTCCTGCTAGAATCAATGATGCTGAAAATGTTTTACGGATTAATCCTGAACGAAAATGAACAAAAATGGGTACCCGATTTTCTTATTTGGATGCTTTTTGAGGTGAATCTGGGTACCTGATCTTGTTTTGTACATAGATACTGATAAGAAGGCCTTTAAGTTATTTCCCGAGTGGCATTACTCTATACTCTTTCCCATACCGTACTTTCGAGCAGACTGATTCTATCGTAACTCGCCCACTCACCGTACCCTAGGACGCTGATTGGTCCGTTGAGGATGGGAACGATCTGAGAGAAAATCAGTGAATTTCGCCCAAGAAAGTAATTTATATGACTTTGCCGCTTGAGTAATGTCTGACTTAAGACCCCTCAATCATTTTCAACATGTGATACCCAATTACTTAGTTTTTCTGAGCATTCCTCATTCCCGTTTCTCCACAGTTGAGGATGTGGTCCACATCTTTCAAATAGCCATGACCATGACATTTATTATGCAAGATCTTGGGCCTTTGACGGAGTTTTTCATATGCTTTTCTATGCCTGTCCAACGGTTTTTGTTTCAGAGTATTTTTGAAGTAGATCGAGCTAAAGATTGGGACGACTTCTTCTCAAAGTATGGCATAGAGCAACCACCAAAGGTAAGAAACACAGTCAAAAATTGCTGACGTTTTGACATTGCTCAAATTTCAAGGCAAAAGAAACCAAGTCCTTGATATTCTTTTATTCAAAAATTTGTGTATCTTCTACCATATAATTGAGTGGAGTTTTCTGAGCCACTATGCACTCTGAGCCATTATGCACTATTTAGATGAGACTGTTTGTAGGAAGAAGATGCCGGCAATGTCTCAGACGACGAAGATCTCGTAGATGAAGAAAATGACTTAGAAGACGATGAACAGCTATTTGTTCCACAACCACCAACCCCTGATTTGCTGAAAAGCACCAGAAGAGAGCGAGGTATCCATGTTTCGCAAGTTAATCATTGGTGCTAAATTCCGCTTCTGATTTGCAGTTGATGAGCATATGTCAAGTTGCCAAGACTCTCCAGAAGCCCAAAAACGACGATACGAGAAGAATATTCGGAGAGAGAAACGACGTAGTTACACCACAAGCATTTTGATATCGCCAAATGCTGAACGTCCAGTTCCTTTGATTAGACAGAAGTGAGTTGTTTTTTTTTTGAATTTCTGGCACATGCTTATGCTATGTCTTCTTACAGATCTATGGAAGAGAATGCTGCTTTGAACATACAAGCTGGAGATGTGACCGTAGAAGTTTCCAAGGTATGTGATCGACAGAATATTACGTTTGAAGAAAATTCGACAAAATATGAATGTTCCATGTTCAGGGTCAATTATTCCTGGACAGGGATAGAGAAGGCTGCGGTCTTCAACGGCGTCAGTCCACTAAAGGTATGCTCAAGTTCAGTTTGCATTTCCAGATTTTTGCATGAGTTTCCTCATTCTTATCACCTAATGACAAAAAAAGGAAGAACGCAGCCGCCGTTGTCCGTTCAATGTTCCTTCAAATATTCTTTCCATTCACGTAAATCTGGGTACATAGGCTTTTTACATGAAGGGTATAGCTGGCATACCCAGCTCCGCCCGGCTCTGTCAATACACTATGATAGTCGCCGTCGATTTTTCTCACATTTGCCTGGCCCTGCCCCACCCCCATTATGTTTTCGTGATCAGCATCCCCTCTTACCTCCCTCCCCCCCCCTTCTGTGCCCACTCCCAACCCCGTAGCTCAAAGTTCCAAAAATCGTTAGAATAGATAGTGACCGACGAGCTAATGGTGTACAGTGCTGGACAAAATTATAGGTCCACTCTAAAAAGTGCCGTAACTCACTCTGTTGTCAATAAAATGTTCCAAAATTTGGTACAGCCGCATGCTTGCCAGCCTACTATCAGTCATCAAAATGGGCCTCGTTTTCGTTTGGTTATTCAAGAAAAATTGAAAATTTTGAAAAAAGCAGGCTTGAAGGCTGGACAAAATTATAGGTCCACCTGGAGTTTTTACTGATCAAAGCACTTCTTAGCTCCCGAATTTCTTTAGATAGGTACACATCCAAAAGCGTTAAACAGCTGCTTTAGTCAAGCTGTGTCTTACCTCCAAAAAGAAATGATTACCTGCTTTTTTGCCTTGAAAATGCTTTCACATGTATTTCGCTCCACAAAGCTGCGTTGAGTAAGAAATTCTGCAGTTTCTCAGCAGGATCGGAAGAGACGGGGTTTTATCTACCTTCGGGATCTTTTTGACCTGAGCATTGAGGAAAAAATCCAACTTTTTGTCGCTGAAGCAAACCCGACATCGTTTCAACCGGGAAAGTAAGCCTCAGTTTCTGCCCTAAAACGCTTTATGCATTGTCATTATAACCTCAAGATATTGTAAAAACATTCTTTACACAAGAATAAAGCTGTCCGCCATACTCGCAAGTGTCCACAAAGCTGCCTGCTTCTTTTTCGAAACATGAGTTGAGTGTACAATGTAATGTAGTGTTACGCAGATCCAAATAACTTGCCAACTGCTACCCCACTTAGATTTTTACAGTAATTATTTACTAGATAGTGGATACAGCTTGTAGTGTATGTTAGCACATGATTCTTCGGAAAATTTTGGTTGGAGTCACAAACAGCTTTGGTGCTTGTCGTAATCAGTTCCTGCAGGGTGATTTCAGTAATTATACTCAAATGCTAGGATCTCTAGAAAGTTGTAACCATGGAAAACGGACTCCCCTTCGTATAAGCAATGCCTTTACTTTACTTTATGCTTCTGAGAACATCGTAGAAGAAGTTTGAAGGCAGAAATTTGAGCTCAGAATTGCAGTATTGTCAATGTCGGATTTGCTTCAGCAGCAAAAAGTCGGATTTTTTCTTCAATGCTCAGCTCAGAAAGCATCTCTAAGGTAGATAAAACCCCACCCCTTCCGATTCAGCTGAGAAACTGCAGAGGTTCTTACTCAACGCAGGTGTGTAGAGCGAAAAACATGTGAAAGCATTTTCAAAGCAAAATAGCAGATAATCAGTTTTTTTGGAGGTATGGCACACTTTGGCTAAAGCAGCTGTTTGACGTTTTTGGATGTGTACCTATCCAAAGAAATTCGGGAGCTAAGAAGTGCTTTGATCAGTAAAAACTCCAGGTGGACCTTAATTTTGTTCAGCCTTCAAGCCTGCTTTTTTCAAAATTTTCAATTTTTTCTTGAATAACCAGACGAAAACGAGACCTATTTTGATGACTGGTAGTAAGCTGGTAAACACAGCTGGCTGGCTGTACCAAATTTTGGAACATTCTATTGACAACAGAGTGAGTTATGGCACTTTTTAGAGTGGACCTATAATTTTGTCCAGCACTGTATATTCGTAATCAGCATGCTCACTTACCCCCTGTGCTAATTCTCAGACCCGTAGGTCAAACAGCGCAAAAAATCGATAAAATTGATATTGATTATAGAGTCGATATCAATCGGTAACAAAAATTAGTCTTCGACATCCGCCCCTTCCCGAAGTGTACGTGTGCAAAGTTTGGTACCCATCGGTTTAGAACTGGCATCTTCTATTCGGAACGTATGTACAAACATACAGACAAACAGACATTAAGCTTTATGTATAATCCCCAAACACAGCTCCCATGACTCAGCCTCGGGTAGGGGAACGAAAGCCGCCAGTTTGAGCCGCCTTTCGCGGCTAACTGGTCCTTTCGCAACGTTGTTGCATGTCGTTCCGCGTAGGCGACGAAGCTGGCGGCTTTCGCTCCCCTACCCCTCGACCTCAAGTCAGAAATCCACGTATTATTGCGTAACCGCACTTCCTCTGCGCAAAAATCAGCGTTCAGCAGAGTGGGCCCTTTATCCATTCGGGGTGCGCGGCGCCGCTAACGGTATGGACGAGTTAAAATATGTATTTAACGGTGACGCATCATAACTGAAGGCACATGAACTTATTAGACATAATAGATGTACAAAAATTAACAGGAATGACCGCGCACAACTCGTCCGCTTCTCAATCCTTGCTCCGCCTGCTAAAATCTCTTACCAATCACAGCCGCATTGCTGACCAATCACGAGCGCGGCTACGATAAGCGGTTTTAGGTTTCTACGCCTTCCGACTAAGATACAGAGTAGCAAAGGCCATATTTCTCTGCCATGAGTAAACTTTACTCAGTGCTTCTGGGTATAGCAAAGTTGCAAAACCATATACCGTAAGGGAAGCATAATACTCAGATTCACTTTTCTATTCTGATTCTCACTTCCTACCATAACTCTTTAGAGTATTCGTCTCAGGACCTCGACTGCAACTCGACCTTCAATAAGGAATGTGCGAAGAGCTCGGCGCATATCATCAGCATACACAACGTCGGCGATCTGTTCCCTGGCGCTGAACAAGATGTATCGTACGTTTAGCTACTGCCCTTCCGCATTAGCATTATTGTCACGAATATCGCATAGAACTAAGCTGTCCATTTCCTCTCCATGGAAGGCTGTTTTCTCACGACATTATGTTGTAGCACATTTGCTTGCATTGAGATTATATCGCATTATTGTCGCCATAGAAACTGGGCCACTTTTTGCCAGCTTCTCTCTAAAAGCGGGAATCCGTATGCGCCAATGAGTAGACTATACACTGCCGGATGAGGGAGGATAGGCAGCGGGTGGGGCAAATAGATCAACAGACTACAGAGCCGTTCCGTTACCAGTGCTTCTTTTCGGCAGTTAGGTCCTCTCCTGGTGTCAATACTTGGCGGGAAAAGTGTATTCCCTGAATGTTTCTTTCTTCCCAATCTACTTTTGTACAGTCATGTAGAGTGCAGAGAATATAGGAGAAAATTAATACCGATCATTCGCATCTTGCCAAAGTCGCGGCTTGCAGCTGTTTTCGTACCAGCCATTGTTTTGTCATTTATCAAAATTCTTGTCGCGCCTTCCTTGCATCATCAAGATTGTCTATAGGGTTCCATTGGGTGTACATAAGAACATACTATGTGCTATTGATTTGTCTTTTGTGCTTCCGTGATTCACTGATTGTTCAATTCCGTTGTTTCTCGCAATGTTTATATAAACTTTGAAAAGATATGAGAGCATGTTGTACGTTTCCCTTTATATGTCGTTGTGGTTAATCAGTCGCATCACTTCTGTCATTAACCTTCCCGCGGACCTTAGGCTACTTTAGCTCTCTTACTAAGACCAAGAGTAGAAGAGTATTCTATGGAAGGAACCGTGGCTGGTCTACTGTGTGATTCTTGCAAGGAAGTCAAAAAAGGACCCAGCGACTCGAAAGACCGAACTCGTGATTTTTGGTGTTTGTGGCCGGCAAAGAAAGTCATGCGCCTTCGTCAGTGTAGCGATCTCCACTGATCATCGTTATAAATCGCTTGCGAGGTTCGAAGCAGTTTTTCAGCATAAATATGGTAAATGCGCATATAAGTGATCAGATTTTGAAAGCTTTCTTGACGCAAAGATAGCAGAATGCGTAAGCCAATGTTGAATGATAGAAGCCTTTATGGTGTAGAGATGACAAAAGCTAATGATCAAAAGTATAGGCGATTCATTGCACGCAAAGACTGCGGACATATCGGCGTTTCTCCAAACGAGCGCTCTTTCTTTTCTCTTACCATCTGCTGTCTCTTCCATGCACAAGTTATCTTGTTCGGACGCAAAGCGCCCAGTCTTTGCGTATTTTGAATCGCCGATAGGAGTCTGTTGACGTAGAAACGGGAAAAATGCGCAAAAGAATATTCGTAGCTCTTTTGGCATCGAGATGAGGAAAACTAACAAGGGAATGGTCAGAAGTCGAAGTGACCAATCCAAACAAGCTGATACCATTCGATGCAGCATAGAATGCTGATTTCAAATCTGTCTTCCATATCTGCAGAGCGCCTTTGTAGGCGAAGTTATGAGCAGCTTTACTGCGAAAAACTCGTACACAAAAATTGCAAAATTAGGCACATTATTGCTCTTTTAGCTCATCACTAGGTACCGGCCATAAGAAGTGACCTGGTTTCATGCTTTGGTCCGCCACTGAGCCGAGAATGGCTTTGTACGGCCCAGTTTGCCTTTTACACGCACAATTTCTTAGCAAAATAATGGCTTTCAACGGCTTATAATTTCATCCACAAAAGTGCTCTGCAAATAAGGAAGACAGATTTAGGGTCAGCGTTTTATGCTGCATCTAATGATACGCAGTTTGCTTCAATTGACCACTTCGATTTCTGACCATTCCCTTGTAAGTCAAAATCAAAACACAATAATCAACGAGAATGAACAAATGGAAGAGGAAAAAATGCCACTAACGCTTGCTCGGCTCGCGGCTCATTATAACGAGCGCAGTGATCTGTCGCACGATACCGTTGCATATTTTGAAAAATAGAGCCGGAAAGGTCATGAAATAACGTCTTCTTCACGTTTCCGCGATGTTTTAGCAACCATAGAATAAAATGCAACAACCTCGAGGAAGAATGCAGCGTTGCGACTATAAGAGAAAATGTTAGAGCTGAGTAGTTATACGTTCATTGACAACCATCAGAGTCATAAGTATGAAGACTTATGGCCGGAAGGATTCGACTCCAATACATAGAGTGTCCATGCGATGCTGACAATACTCGTGCAGGAAACAGAAATATTGCTGATATAGGAAGACGTTTTCGTAATCAGCTCCGCGATCGCCAATCCACATGCACCACGCTTCCCTGTCTCTGTCCTTCAATTGTATGCTAGTTCTCTCCCCTCGCTAAGATTTCGTAATCCATGCTCACTTACTCCTCTGTATCAACTCCCAGCCCAGCGCGAAATTTGCCGAGATTTGATAAAATTGATAATGAATCCATAACTCTCAAATTAGTATTGTATTTGTTATAAGCATGCTCACCTTTGCCCTGCACCGCCGGAATTTAGAGGAGCAAAACCATGAACGATATAATTACAATAGTAGGGCCTGAATAACCAGCATCTGTAAGTATCAGCAGGAAAACTAGCACAACTCGGAACATTTGCCAACTCAAACTCCACACTGAGCCTTACGTAAACACGGAACAGCCCAGCTACACTTCTTCTAACTCCGCAGCGTCCAAGTTGCTCAATCAGCTTTCTTCTTTAAAAGCGCTGCTCCTTCCAGACTCTTAAACTCGTGGAATTTTTGTTGAACTATGTCAGCTTCAACTTTCAAGCTTCGCTTCCAGTCAGACTTTACACTTGGGACAGTTACATTGGGAAATCGGAGGATTAACGTAGTTCGTCAGAGTTGTTTGGTCAGATGTATGAATATTTCGTCAAAAATGATAAACCTATAGGTAGAGGATTTGTGTCACTAATTCGAAGTCAAATCGACAAACACGAATATTTCTCTTAACCCTTTCGGGCCTGGTGGTGGCAATTGCCACCATCAATTCAGAGATCTACTATACTGGCGCAAGAACATCATTTCAATACTCATTGCTCTCAAACGCTTCATATAGCCTTTGCCTTCCAAATATAGCTTCGAGACCGGGTGTTCATTTGCTTTTCTGTGATTAGCATGTACATTTCTGTAAACAAGTGGATTTCAACCAATCAATAATTTGCGCCGGCTTGAGCACCATTTCAGTATCTCGTTAATTAGCCAAAAAATATTCATAATATTATCATAATGTTTTAGTACGATGCTGAGCAAATGTAACTGTTAACTGTTTGCGGGTCCACACGTTTCGCGGGAGATTTGAAAATCCAAAATAAACGCAAAACCAAAAAATTGAAAAATCAAAAAGAAATAGTTCATAAGGTTAAGCAGACTCCAAACTCCGCTATAATGTTATTCATATGGTAATAAGTAAAAAACACTAGGAGAGAGGCTTCTCGGCTCACTCGCAAAAACTCAGGTCCGAAAGGGTTAAACAGTAAACCAACGCGACCTCAGTAACATCCACTTCAACGGAGAAATATTGTATGCGGAAAACGAAAGAAGATCATTCCTAGTGTTGGGCCCATTCCTTCAGGCCTAGATGCTACAAGTCGCAAGGTAAAGCTTCACAGCTCAATTAAAAACGTATACATTGATAATTTGCATAGAAAATGTTTCATTGCATCTTCAGCAGCTGACAAGCGACAACATTTGAAAATAATGGGTGACCGGTAAAAGTAATTGAAACACAGCGTATATTCAGTGTTTGTTTTCCAAAAGAAATCTCGAAGAAAGCATTTTGATGTAGAACTGTTGAACGCTTTTGGGAGATTAACATAGACATTACTTACAGACAAAAATATGGAGCTTTCTTCGGATAAAATTTCGGTAATAAAGCTGTTCTAGGTATGAAGCTGCAGAGTTGCAGCGGAGTGAAATGAATTTCCTCTTCCAGCAGGTGTTTTTTATAAATCTCCATTTCAAAAGGAGCAGGTGGTAGGCTCTAAGGCAAAAATTGATACTTTGGATATATTGGGAAATCATAAAGTGAATTTGACAACCGTTTCTTTCCGTGTACCAAGGACTCCATTATGGTGATAGAATGAAAAACTCACCAAGAACTGCCATAAAATGTTGATGCAGCTCTTTTGTGAGCAGATTACGGTATACTGTCAGGCAACTCGCGTGTAGATTTGGGAACTGAAAGCGGACATCACAAATTCAAAGAAAGTAGATCATAGAACAGCTATTTTGGAGTTGAAAGCTTCGGAAGAAAGATGACGTGTTTGCGAATGCTAGCACGAGCTATTACTTCATTGTCATTACAACTAATATGCAGCTCTAAAGCGTATTCAAGTAAAAGAAAATGCCAATGTTTTGGTGCTTGAATTGAAACGTGGCAAACGAAGATGACTCTATACGAATCCTAGAATTACTACTTCTGCTTATCAAATGATCATGGAAGAGTTCTGGAAGAGTTCTGCACAATGGTCGGATATGGTAAATTTTTTCAATTTTTTTGTATCAAAACTCACGGAAGGTACTTTCAGTGGCCGTATTGTTTGATATGAAATGCATATCGGAAGCACTTTTGAACACTGATTTCAAATCCGCATTCCGTTTCTGCAAACGCTCTTCTGAGAGGACTCAAGAGGCCCGAAAGTCCTGTTTTCGGATGTGTAAGTTCGAGGATGCTGCTATATACGCTGATGGTGCAGTGGTTAGCGTGCTTGCATTGAAGGCGAGAGGTCAGTGATTCGAATGTCCGGTGGACAGGCCCTTATCACTTGCAGTTGTGACAGAAAATTCTCTCTTTATAGGTCAGATATGCCAGAAACATTGCCGTAACTGTCTGTAGATGGTTTAAGTGTCTGTCCGCAATGGGATTTCTAAACCTTCATTACTCCTTTCAGATGAGCGTTCTCCGCAGAAATGGAAAGCAGATTTTAAATCGCGTTCAAAAGTCTTTAGCCGGTATGCATCTCATATCAATCGGCCAAGGCCGCTGAAAGTAGTTTCCTTGTCAGTTACTTGTTGCTATCAGAGTCCTTTGCATATGCGCCGTTAGCGAGAAACTAGCTCCTTCATATAAAGCATAGTAATGGTACCATTCATCACAACAACTAAGGTTATAATTATAACGCTTTAACTAGTATGCTTCAATGCTTCACACATTATGTACTACTTGCATAGAACGTACATACAGTATATAAAGCAGCAGTTTAGGGGAGGCTGTGTAAGTCCTACGTCCTTCTTAGGACTGCCCAGCTTATAGCCGAGAAATGAAAAGAGATCGAAACTCGAAGGAGTTCAACGCACAATTCAGATATTATTCGCATTTTCTCAAGCAAAGAGTACTACTCTTCCGCGCTCTTTTTATATAGTTATATCACATTGACGACCAGGGCGTTTCACGGAAAATTCAACATTTTCTAGATAAAATTACGCATAATTCCGCTTACAGTACATCTACAGTAACTTTGGAATGCTGGCAAAAACAGAAACAAAACAAAAACAGATCCTAGCATAAAAGAAAACACCCGGGATGGGTTTTACGCAAAACAGTAGCCATTTCAACGACACATATGGTGTGTTATGCCTTGACACACCACGTGTGTCAAGCGATCGTCAATGTGATATAGTTCAGCTCTCCTCGGGTTGAAGGGCTTGTGTATCCAAGAATTCTGCCCGAATTCTGTGCTTCATATTTTTTCTTTTTGGAATCTTCTTCCAAGTCGAAATCGCAGAGCTAGCCTGAAGGTCTTCCTAGAAGCAAAGGTGTACAGGCGGTGCGGAAAGTCTTTTCCTAATCGTTCACTCGGTTGTATTCCTGAAAAATTCTTTGTCAAAAATACCCGCAATATAGACCCAAAGATCTTCGCTCTTCTTAGCATACGCTAGAGTTTAGTAAATTATGAATCTTTCAACCTTTTTATATAGTGACAAATCTTGTTTTATGTTGCGCATTGTTTGTGTTTTTTCTTACTATTCAGCTTTCCTATCACTGTAGCGTTAATACCCACCTCTTTTATCCATCTGCACAAAGAATTACTACAATGGAATATTGGCACGACAGGGATTGGTTGCTGTTGGTTATGCTCGTCATTCCGAAAGCACTGTTGGTGCATGAGCACGCCAACTCATGCTTTGCCGAATGATGTGCAAGTTTTCCTATAATGAGTCCAGAATTATCATAGCTGTGTGGTTTTCTATAAACCCTGATGGACAGAGTGCCGTTATTTCTATGTTATTAGCCGTACCGGATCGAGTACAGTCTGCCCCAATCGGGATCAGGCCGAATCGTCGGCTGAATTTGCGCGCTGGCAGAGCTAGGGGATTGCGCTGCATACGCGCGCTGTCGCAGAGAGTGAAGAGATCGAAGAGAGAGCAGACTAGCTAGCCGCAGATGTGGCGCGAAACCCTCGCGGCGCGGACTCCCGCCATGCCGGTTTGCCTGGTTAGGATTGGGGCAGACTGTATGCAGGAAGACCCACTCTGAATTCTTGAAATTAGCCTACCGCACTTTATGTGCATAGATTGATTGTGCCTAAGCGTGCAAGGATTGACCACATGGAATAATTGCTTAAGGGTGCACGAATTGACAAAGTAGCGGTCTAACGTGTTCAAAACCTCTTGCTATGATGTGTGCCAAAAATGAAGAACATAAGGTGAGAAATGGTAGCGGGTGCTCCAGTTCCTCATATAACATTTGATTCAACTGGCTTGGCGGTCGAAAGGCTAGGCTTTGTGACCTATCATGGCCGCTCGTGCCCGCTATGCAGTCTGCGTCTCTCTCGCGCGCGTGCTCTCTGATCATTATCACCTTAATTAGGTCACAAAGCCCCTCCTTTCAGCCACCCCAGTTGAATTAGAGGGATGTGCATTTACAATACGAAGATCTGATGTAAAAGTATGTAAAAGTAAACGTGAACGTTTTTTTCTTCAAATCATTTAGCATGACCCCAGCAATATCGGCTCTGACTGGTAATTCCCTGCAATCTTTTCAAAATCCTGACGCATGTGGCAGCATAGGTGTGTCGCATGGCAAGTGATTCCTATTTTTGATTGGCGCAGGAATCCTCACAACTGAAAGGATTTGCTGACGTAAACAGACCTTCTGTCTGCTATCGTATTCAATGTGCCTCGGTTTCTTTTAAGCTGTTTTGTAGACTTCCAGTCTTCTACTCTCCATCTCCTTGCGATTATATTGTATACACCCACTGATAATCAGGTGATCCCCCTTGTTTAACTCGTTGCGCTAATCAGGTTGAATTGATGCTCTTTCTTTATGTTGCAATGAAGTCACAATGAGAATATCAGGCCGTCTCCGTGGAGACGATCCATGTCGAGTTCACATTTACTGTTTGTAAAGACAAATCAGCTAATGCCTTTCGACTCATGGACAGTACTACACTTTTCGTTTAACACTTATTTTTGCCATTTCTGTCACATTCAATAATGACAAGTTGAGACCGAACCCTTTTGAGCAAAACTTCCACAAACGTTTCTAATGCAGGCGTAGCGTGCATACGCGCGTATGCATGAATTCATTACGTGCAAGTCTTTTTGACACTTATTCTTAAAACATACAAAGTTTTTCCAGAGTTACATGTATTTCACAGAGTCTTACCAGAAAACACACAGATGAAAATTTTATCACTTTCTACTCCAATGAACTATGCAATGGCTATGTCTCCATTTAAAAAAGGAGTTAATGAATTGAGTGTTTTTGCTTGTGTAATCCTTAATTAGAACAGCTTTGCAGAGTTTGGCTGACCTTTCAATGTTTATTGTTCCTATTATCAAACCTAATGAAGAGGCCAAATGAATCATTATCTCTCGAAAACAAATAATTTACTTATGGAAAAAACTGCGTATTTCAAATGCTACCTTTTTTGCACAATAGAATATGAAAATTTTTCTGCATGGAAAACTCTTCGCTTGCACAAACTGTGCCATATATGGCTTTGCTGTACCGATGAGCTAACGGACAACTTCTATGCATGAGTTGCACAACTTTGTAGGAAAGTAATTTGCGTCACATCTTTTTGCTTTTCAGTAGGTAACGATAGTGACGCAGTCAACAATTACCACTGTGATTGAACCATTTACGGCTTGAAGCTGATGTTTTTACACTCGATTAAACATACGCTTCCCTATTGCTGTTTCTTGAGGTAAACATTAATATCTGTCTAGCAATACCGTTTATGCCTACACCATCGCCTCAAACGTATTACTGTCGTATACGGAACTGTCAACGCTCGTGTGGTCTTCTGCATCGCGATTCTAGCAAAAGTATGTAGTGAATTAATTTTCTTAAAACTTTTACCAAGAAAAACACATATTCAGTTTCAGAGCGATACGCATTTGGACAAAGTCTTTCGCTGGACAGAGAGGATCCGAAAAGAGGTGATAGTCAAGAATGAGTTATGCGGACTTTTTTTGCTGGCGTGATAACATGATGAGAAGCTCCATTCCGACAGAAATTCCGAAGTCTAATATTAGGTTGCTGCATAAGTTCTGTTCGAAATGGATTCAAAACACCATAAAATCTCACAGTCAAGTAATGAGTGGACCATACCTAGCGATGTCCTACAGGACACTTCGGGTCATCATGCTAGGAGTATATAAGCTCGTCTACTCAATTAGTAAGCATTATAATGGCTTCAATTACCAAGCAACAAATACTCACATTTATCTTCTGTGAGTGGCTGAGAGGCACCAAAGCAATGGACGCCACTAATAACATCAACAGTTCTGCGGAGGAGAAGCATTGACTGATCGCACCGTGCGCCGTCGACACAGCCGCTTTAAGGCGGGCGATACCAGCCTTGAAGACGTTGAACGCAGCGGTGCTCCAGTGCGCGTCAATAATGAACAACGCGCCGTTTCTTGGGAGGGAAACCGATATAACTCTGCGCAAGTTGGCCAAGAAGATTGGATGCCACAATACAACAGCTTTTCGGCATCTCCAAAGTATCAATTACCGGAAAGTGTTGGCTAGATGGATACCTCATCATTTGAGCGAAGCCGCTAAGGACTGTCGTGTTAACATCTGTCAATCGCTCCTGCTCCGCCCTTGAAGAAGGGGTTTTCTCGGTGATGTAATTGCTGGAGACGAAAGCTGGATTCTTTATGACAATGTTGAAGGAGACCCTCCTGGTTACCGAAAGAACAACAGCCGCCGCATGATCCCAAATCGAACCGCCATCAACATAAGGTCATCTTGTCTTGCTGGTTTGATTCCAGGGGAATGGTCTTTACGTGTTACTGCCCGAAGGAACTACGGTCACCACAACCGTATACATACAGCAGCTCGAGAGACTGGCGGCAGCATTTCGAGAAAACGCCCAAAACGTGCAACAGTCCACCTCCTTCACGATAACGCACCAGCACATCCAGCTTTGGCCACCCAGCAAAAACTGGCTGAGCTAGAGTGGCGAGTGCTATCCCATCCACCATATAGCCCGGACACCCTGCGACTACAAGCTTTTCCACCCTCTCAAACAGTTTCTCAGCGGCGCCTCGCCGATAAGAATAGGTGAAAACGGCACTTGACGAATTTTTTGGGGCGCAGTTACCCAGCTTAAGGAAAAGGCGGAGCGAAGAGCTGCCCGACAGATGGGCGAAGGTCATAGACAACCAAGGAGACATATACTTAATTAAGTTTGTTGCTGTTTATAAAATTGTTAACAAACAAAGTTAGTAAGTTTTCCGGACATAACTTATGCAGCAACCTAATACATTTTTGAGTGGACAATTCATTTTAGCCAGTACCCATTACTTTGACGTATTAATCTGATTCAGAAGCAACAAAACCCCCCTCCGGCGCGTCAGTACAAAAAAGGAAGAAAAAGGGTGAGGAATTTTGATATGATTATAGTATGTCTCACATAGTTAATCTGATTTAAGCTTTTTTTGTCATTTCTTAGCAGTTTAAACTTAATGTCACGAAACCGACCTTCAAATATAGGTGGCGGTAACATGCTTCTCAATCTTTTCTACACTTTTCTAATGGTGCAAATACGTATTTTAATTTTAAAAAACTATATTTTTGAATGTATCTCGGAGACCTAGATCACTAAGTACGCATGGCCGCCTCAAAAGTACATTAGGAAGTTGCTGCGAAACGACGTGCTTGAAGTTATCTTCCACCATTGTTGTTGTGCAAAGGAAAGTGCAAACACAATGCGATTAGCTGCTGAGGAAAATCTTGTACTTGCCTATTACCTCTCAGTGCGTAAAGAGTTTTAAGAACAGCAAAACAGTACCTAGCCGTAAGTTTTTATCATAAAGGCAGCGTTCGGACAAATCTCAATATTCTGGTTTTCCGCATTATTGGGGCATTTCTCGAAATGCCAATTGCATTGAGATTTGCAGCAGGTTTGCAGCGCTTCAAAACGGCAAAAATGAGGTTTTAAGAGCTCTCCAAGTTGCACGTGATCGAATCATGAACGCTGCAGCGCACCGCCGTGTTCGGAGTCCGGGCCACATTGGGGGAGTGGGGGAAGGGAAGGGGGAGTTTAGTCTTTGAGACCCCCTCCTGGCTGCGAATTTCTGTTGTCGCTTTATAGGGCGGCTATCACCACACTACTACTAGAGCCGGGTAATCCCAGTGTGCTAGGACGCTGCCTTTGAAGCCGCATTCATGAACATCCCCGGGGAGAGCGCAGATTGAAAGAAGGCTTTATATCCTAAAGCTTTGGGCATCTGGTTTTCACGCTGTCTATCCATCCTCAGGTGTTTCTACTGCCCTTTACAGTACGCATCACGGACAGAAGCGTGTTGTTGTACTTCTGATTTTTCCTGTTTTTTGTGTGATCCTCCGACGATTCCCTGCGGATAGCCGTCTCTCTTCCCCAAAGCCACTTTTTTTTGAAGTTAATACAAAGAATTCAAAATCATACTGAATAAATCCACCCCAACACCAACTAGGGAAGATATTTGAGAAGTGGACTTTTTCAATGACATGTATATCAGTCGAAAAGTCTTTACGCGCAGATTTTGAAACAGTTTCCCATATCTAATGGCCTGCTAAACAGGGTTAAAGGCATTTTTTGCTTTCAAACTGCATGGCGGGTGCTGTCTAAATGGGGTGTATCCCATTACCTGTGACTGTCAATCAATCAGTCGCCACTCGCGGCAGGCTGGCAATAATCAGATGCCCAGTGAACTCGGTTAACCCACTCGCAAAGCCATACTGTTCCTTCTTATTATAGGTTTTTACAATACTACATTAGATTTTATTGTTTGATGAATGTTTGGCCACAAAACTTAGGAAAAAATAGGATAGTGAAAGGATATATAGAAATTAAAGTGTTTCTGATCAGGAGTTATAAATTTTTTGAGCACTATGATAACTTGACTCCTAAACATTTACTCTGGGACTTTTCTTTGGCCCTGCTTCCTCTCGCCCAAATTACTGTAACGCCGCGTCGCCACAGTTTCTAATTGACGCCCACAAGTAATGGGCGCCCCCTCCAAATGACCTAAACGTAGTAAATGCGAATTGTCTCCAATACATGCCTGCATGTCTCAGACTTGATTATTGGGCATAAAAAAGTTGATCGGAATAGTTCTAAATCTCTTCTGTTGCCATAGTCCTGCGATGAGCAACCCAATTCAGTAGCATTTTGGGCCAAACAAATGCCTGTAATTTGTTCAATGAATCGATAATCAAATAAAGTAAGCATATTTGCAATCAGTTAAGCGGTTAGTATGGTATAAACCATGTTAAGGTAGGCACGAAAGCCAAATATCTTCTCTGCCAAGCATAACTTGTTGAGAACAAATGAAGTATTGAGTGATAACAACGATGACGAATCACAGCTTGAGACTTGAGGCTTCACTCGTTCTTAACGAACATGGAAACACTGTTGGTTTGAATAATCAATACAACTCCAAGATGTTTTCATTATTTTCAAAAGAAGTGCTTTGAAGAAAAAACAATTAGCCATTAACCATCGGGAGATGACACAAAACTTAAACTATGAACACGTTTTCAACATTGAACATGTTGAGTATGTTCATAGTGAAATTCAGTAGAAGTGCTTACGATTAGATAGTGTGAAACTAGATGTCCAAAGTTTTGGGATTATGAACCTTTCCTCTAAGGCCCGTATGCACGTACATCCCCGCGGGGAGGGGAGGGGATCTAAGAGGGGAAGCCTCATATTTTGCTACTCTGTATATCTTTTGTCTTCCTTCTTTATCTGTGATATGAAGGTTCTCATACCCTAATACCTGGGCATAATGGATGCCAGATTACTGCCATACAAGATTAGATTTTCACATCTTTGTGTGATCCCCAGGGGATTCCCAGGGGATCACCTCTTATTTTCAAAGTCATTTATCTTCCTACAAATTCAATAAAAATGTTCTAATTTTGTGCTGAGGGTATAATATGGTACTGCTAAACATGTCTATAGTAAAAATAAGGGAAATCTCAGGGTATCGAAATTTTCGATGAACCGCTGCTCGCGAGCCAGGGATTATCGAAAAATTGATAAACTTCAGATTCCATTTCTTCTGTCAAAAACACTTTTCAGTGCCGTAGTATATCCTCAGTACAACTTTACAGCATTTTTATGGAGTTTTCAGAAAGATAAATGACTTGAAAATGAGAAGTGATCCCCGGGGATCCCCAGGGGACCACCCAAACTGGTGAAAATCTAATCTTGTATGGCAGTAACCTGGCATCTATATTATGCGTAGGTATCAGGGTATGGGAACCTTCATATCACAGATAAAGAAGGAAGAAGAAAGGTATGCAGAGTAGCGAAATATGACGCTTCCCCTCTCAGATCCCCTCCCCTCCCCGCGGGGATGTACGTGCATACGGACCTAAGCTGCGCCTTCTCACCCCTTCCCCCGGCCTCCCTCCGGTGGAGCTGTTCTTGTAAGCTGGAATTAAATATACTTTAAAAGAGGAATTATGTGACTGCTAAAGCATGTGAGATCATTTCGATGAAATTCTATGAGTAGAGTGAGTATCATACGCTTGAATATTGCAGACTTCCTAAAATCCTCTCACCCAGCGATTTCTTGCACCCTGGAGTGTTCTGAAATGTATTGTCCGAGTAAACAGTGTGCGCCACAAAATTTTTCCGAACCTATCTAACATTCAGTTCACCATATAAACCCTACTGTCGGACGGAGACGTAAAAACAGTGTCACTTGAATTGGCGTGAACAGGATGCGCGCAGCTACACCGTTGCGAAGCCAACGCCAAAAATTCTCAAATTCATATTTTAGCAAAAGTAGGAGTGATAATGTGGCAACTTGTGAGCTTTGTAAGCCTGATTATATGTGCGGTTTTATTCTTTCGTGACTGCTGAAATGTCAGCCCAGATTTCGGCTGCGTAACAAAGAGCCGGGAGAACTGCAGCATCATTTACTTGGACGCGTAGTTGTGGTTCAGTGAAATTGTCACAGATTCTCCTAGCATTCCAAATGCTACCCAGGCTGCTCTCTGTCTTCGGCTGAATTCATCCTTCACGTCGTTGTTCATGTTGATGGCGCGTCCTGGGTAGACATAGGATAAAGTCTCCTCTAATCACGGAAGAGCTCAAATAATTCTGCATTTCAGTGCGCAAACCACGCTCTGGTGCAACAAATTCTACAACATCAACAAGCACAACTTCATCTGGAAGAAGTAATGATAAGCGTAGTTTAGATTAATCACTTGGAGACTGTCATCTTTTAGATTCGCAAATCACAAAAGAGTCACAGTCACCTCAGCCGCTTTCTACACTTGACGACATTATGGAAAGAGCAGTCAAAAAGGTAATAAACGGTTACCAATGAAACTTTTGATGTCCATTTCCTTTACATACACTAATGAGTTCGAAACGTCAATTGCTACAAACCTTCTAATGTAACGTGTTTAAGATATCAGCTGTGAAAATTGTAGAAGATTCAATGATGATGGCAGAGCCGAAGAACAGCAAGACTTCAAAGAGATGTAAAGATTTTTTCGATTTCTACGAATAGGCCACAAATTACTACTTCAGCTCGCTTAGAGCCATCTGTCTCCCTAGACACTACTACAATACACTTTGATCAGCCAGTATGGGATAACGCTGAACTACGAGAAGAATTGCTTGATTCCGAAGAAGAATTTGCTTTGGATGGTTGGCTAAACCCTCGCGCAAAACATTCTTTTCTTCTACTACTGCAATTCTTTCAGCTGACCCGCCGTCTCTTCGTGAAGATTCCTTGATTGTTGACGAAATATTGAGGTAAAGAATGAAAAATTCTTTAAATCAGGGTGCAACATTTTTTTTTCAGCGAAACAACACATCCACTAGATTCCAATCCTATCGAGCATGGAAGAAAGGACGAGATGATTTCAGGATGGAGCTCAGACGAGAGTAAGATTGATCTTTCACTTCTTTCTACATTTTTAAGGGGCGGGGAGAGGGGAGGGGAATCAAATACTAGCATGGTCTCACCAATAAAAAGTACTCGGACGTGAGATTGAGTCAAAAATGGAAACGGAAGGGAGAATCGCCAAAATCTCGTTGGGGAGGGGGGGGGGATCACTTGATGCTTACACGTACACATCCGCTTTTACATCTTTGTCAAAGCTTTTACAGACGACTTCTCAACGGTGGACCTTACACAAGGGAGGAAAGCTGACAGTGAGTTTCACTTTTTTAGAAAAATTTAGTTGTTGCCACGAAGATAGGCTTTTTCTCAAAAAAAAAACAAGGAGATATTGATGGCATCATCTTCATGATTTTAGGCCATGAGGAACTACATGTGATACCAGTACGCAGAAGGAAATTGAAGGGAGTGGCATACGAGCAAAGCCTTGACCTCGCTGATAATGTATGATACCGATTGCATCAAATGATCTCACGCTTCCATTAACTTTATGCGAGTTAAAGTGTTTTATATATATTGATTTCACGAGTACAAGACGCACCTCTTTATTTCAAACTCGACCAACTTGAACATTTCAAAAGAACTTTACGACCAGGCATCCTCTAAATTGCTGCTCATTCCTAAGAAAATCGTGGGGAAGGGAGATTATTTTCAAGGCACGGTGATGCAGTTGAGCGGCTTGCTTGAAAAAATGAAAAGGTGCGACTTGTACTCGTGAAACTGGAGTGGCTATATGTGGCTAAAATTGTCTTTATCGATCAGATAGATGTATCAATATATATAATGAAATCTATTTCTTGTACTACACGACGCGACCAATTGAAATTTTCGCAAAGGAAAGGGGCCCAGTAGGCGAAAAGCCTTTGTTGATCAACTCCAATACGATCAACATCCATTGAAAAGACAAAATGATCTTTCCTCCCATTTTGTCTTGTTCCAAAAGCTTTTCAGTCATAAAAAATATTAGGGTGAACGGTAAAAAATGGGACACTTACGAAATAACTGGAGGTTTCTCAAGAAAGAGAAGTGATTAGACATTCCAATTTTGATAGATGTTAGAATATGTTATTCTCTTTCAGATAATACCTATATAAGGTCATTTGCATAATTAATAATCTTTATGCTTGCTGAAATGTAAAGTTAGTCACTTCGACAAATTATGAACTTTGAGCAGTATCTGCGCAGTGAAACATGTGAGACCACCCAAAGTCTACTGCTGAAGTGGGTGGTGGGACAGTCACCAAACCCACGACGGCTTGGTGGCCTCAACGTTCAAAGTCAGGAGATATGGCCATTAGCAGCTTCGAGAACGAAGATACGCGTTATTCAATTCCTTCCAGGTGAACGCACGTTTTCTAGGTACCATCTGATAGAGCTTCTTACGCTCTGTCCATCCATGTGCAGCTTGCCTCAGATTTTGTCTATTTTTGGAAAATGTAGGGCAAAACATAATTTTTTGGTTTTTTGTTGCGCCAAAAATAGCTATTTTCCAGGTTTTTTCGCAATTTTTCCTGAAATTGAAAAGAAATCTTAGGCATTTAACATATCGTTTAGAAGAGCATGAAAACCTCTTTCGAATGGTATGTCATTTGCTTTACGACTTTACGGTATAGCAGTGCAAGTTTGAGAGTTGCTCAAAAAATCCTGTCGGAGTTTTTCACGACGCCGCGCGTATACGGTTATAGAGAGGAGCGGTAACGCGTTGCCAGAATAATAGGCGAAGGCCGGTTATGTAAGCGACGTTTGAGTTGCAGCCTGCTTGTTATTGGTGAGGACAAAAAATCTTAAAATGTAATAGAAATCAAGCTGTCCCATTTTTCACCGTTCACCCTAATAGTTTATAACAAATTATCAGATTGATGCAAAATCATGCACGCCTCCTAAGGCATTTTCGAACAACTTTATTCTATCGAGTTCTCTTGTTCAAAATGGATCTAGCATGATATCTGGAAGCTCCCTTCTTGCCCTTTTCCAAAAGCAGTTCAAAACTTTTTATATATAGAACTTTTACGGAACTCTAAACAGGCATACTACAAATCAAAATTCATTAGTAGCTCTCTTACTGAAGATGCAAAGACAAGTGAAGGTCTTCTGTAAACAAACATGTTTAAGTTGTGGTAGTTCAGAATGGAGCAACGCCCAAAAATAAATCTTATATATGAAGCTGAATGTCTGTTTGTATGTATGTCTGCCTGTATGTATGTCTGTATGTATGTACATATGTTCCGAATAGAAATTTTTATTTCTGAACCGATCCGGACCAAACTTTGTACACATACACTTCGAGGCGGGGGGGGGGGGTGTCATAGGCTACTTTTCGTCATCGACCGATATCGATTTTATTGACTTTGCAAAAAGTTCGAGCTACGGGCTGGGAGTTGGTGCAGGGGGGGGGGGGGGGTAAGTGAGCATGCTGATTACGATTATGATATTGACAGGGCCGGGCGGAGCCGGGTTTGCCAGCTAGTACTTGCTATGGCAAATCCATGGCTTGGTAAGTTTTTTCCTAAGTTTTTCTTTACCATCCAGAAATCAAAGAATTCCTCAAATCTATCCATTCCAGTTTGCCGAACAAAAAAGTGTACAAGACAAAACATTTCAAATATCATTTCCTCTGCAGAACTATCTAATTCAAGCTCTTTCTCATTGCAGTTGTATCAAACCTCTTGCAATTCAAATACAATAGTTTCCAACGATATGAGCATATCTTGAAGGGTTGTTTTGTCGAAAATAATTTTATTAGGTCGGTGCTAAGTCTTTTTCATTTTGAACCCATCCATGAATTCCCTGGAGTGGAGGTAAACAAGCATTCTAAGCGGTTTTCGATGCAAAATTTCTTCCTCTTTCCAGCACCCGTGTTCCCAGTGCGACCTATGCGACAGTTACGGAGACAATCGCCGAATTTTGCGACCCTTCACTTCCAACATGCCTGTTTTTCGCTAATTTTCAGGAACTTTACCGGAGGCTTCTAAGGTTGCTCCAATAGCCATTTGATCGCGCAACCTTTCAAATTAATGCAGTTTTCTGTATATTTTTAGTATGCTGCTACAACTTTACTGAACAATTTTCCAAACTCGCGATTTGAGAAAACGCATAACATGAAAACTTTTCTATGTTTCGGCGGAGCTCCCTCAAGACCTGGAAGGCGAGTCAATGCGTGCAATAATTCACCTAAACGATACTGTTTAGCGTACGCCCACCACTCTGACAACGTGTCAGACCACTATGTGCAGTTTTTAGTGTGATGGAATGTGCTTTCCTTTTATGGTCAGACTCAAATCCATACATCTGCAGAAAAGGAGCGAATTCATTGTTGACAGCCACCCATTCTCCTTTCCTGTTCAGTAGGGCATCTGCATAAAATCCAGCAAACCTCCTGGCTTTTTATGCCGCAATATTCATTTCTTTGGAAAGAACAGCAATGTTGACTTCGAAACTCTGTATCTCAGTGGCACAATTTGCGATACGCGCCCAAAAGCGTAGACACTTGCGATTTTCGCATTCCATCTAAATGTTCGTATTTTACAAATTATGTGATAAGCAATACCGCGGCACATGCAGCCTCCGGTTTGCCCGAACTGCATACAATGCAGTCTATCTTCGAACAGGCTTGATCGTGACTTCTATACGCAACATGAGCTGCTTCAGGTTCTGAGGTTTCGCAAGCCTCAGTGAATTACAGCGGATAGTTTGAATTAATTAACGAATATAGTGCTCAAAATACTTGTATGTTTATACTTTATGGGATTTGAGGGTTCGTACAAAAAAACGGAAAAGACCTTTGCACCGACCTGATAGAAAACAATTTGCGTTGCACTCAACGGCTTTCTACTCTTGTGATATCAGTACGGCAGAATACGTGCAGAGCTACAAGGTTTACCGCACTTAAGCTTCAGCTAAAAATCAAACCTTAATTATAATTCGTCAATGTGAAAACTTCAAGAAAAAACATGCATCGACTGCATTGAATTGCATTACCCCAAAAGAAAGTCAATAAAGTGTCGGAAAAGCCCTTTGTCTTTCGATTTCTCTACCTTGTCATTCTATAAGTAAAGCCATAGTTTATTACAGACTTCAGAAAGCCCAGTTTTTTCAAAAGAAAAAAGTGCCGAGAAACAACGAAAATGGTGCTACGAAGCTGAGGCTTCCACAATGGATTACTGAAATCTCCCATTATTATATCAATTTTGAAATTTTATTGTTGAATTCTAACCATCACCCGCACAGAAGAAGAAAAAGAAGGAATCAGAATGCACATTCATATAACCACAGACATATAAGCATTTCATAAATTAGTGACTTCAAAGTAAAGTTTGTTCAGCGAGTATCTCATCATATCCACTTGGAGCATTTTGTGTGAAGTTTCGAAACTTTACATCAATAATGGCGGAATTGTCCACATAAATTATTGGGTACGCCTGTAAATAACTGAGTAAAAACAAAACATACAACTGACTGACTACATAGGACAGCTAGCATAAGAAAATATTTAAATTGATTATCTATCGAAAATAATGAGAAAAACTCACAGGCCCCCTGATTCCCGTCACAGATGGCTCAGCCGGTTCACCATTCACGATGAATTTCAGCTCAACATGGTCATAACATATACCCTTCAAACAAACAAAAAAAAATTCTCAAGAATTGTGATTTTGAATGATTCGGGTCGCTCACAATCGAGTCTCCCTCCGAGATTTCTTTGTTCAGCTTTCCAATAGCTTTCTCATTGGCAAAAACTTCGCCATTATCGCGGATACCCCAGAATTCAGTGACGACCGGGGCAGCGTCCAAAGGTGTGTGAGAGTTACCAAGTCCAACTCCCCAAGTACCTTAAAATTCTTTGAGCTCAATATTAAAAGAGGTTGTTATAAGCTCACCATCTTGTTGAATATTCACTTGAAAAAAGGCTTTATTTTGTACAATAGGTAAGGTTCCTAAAGCGGCACCGGTGCCACATATTCGTTCACCTTCTTTCAAAATCACAACGTCTTTTCCTGCAAACAAGAGCATTAGAGGAAGTCGAAATCTCTCAGCTTCCAGGAACTTAGACTATTTGATCTGAGCATTCCACCCATTTGACCGTAAGATATAGAATACGTATTCTCGAGTCAAACCAAAGATATGTTCAGAGCAGAACTTTCTCTCTATGTTTTTTGGAAGCTCGGCAATTGTTCTTGGTAGTTTCTCACAAACTCTTGCTGAAAAATCCATTTGACTTGTTTGGAAAATTGTGGTTACTACCTCATTGCTCCCAATTTTTATAGTTCCTTCTTTGAAGGCAGCGTCCGGGCAGATACGAAAATGTAGAGTACAGGGGCGCCCGTCCTAGTAAGGCTCTTGCCCAACTGGAAATGCATCAATTTGCTTCTGAAGCGAGAAATCTGCTTCAGAAGTGGCGAACGGAACGCCTCGGCGATCGGGACAAGTTCGATAAGCCAGAGTGCACATACGGCACACAGTCAAGACGTAGGGTCCCACAAAGACTCTGATCTCCTTGGACTCTTTGTGGGACCACCCTACGTCTTAACTTTGGCGGAAGGCGACAAAATTCAAATCAAGAGCTTCTGGAAAAGCCCGTTTTCGGCGTTTTCATGCCTTCCAAGCTGCATTTTCAGAATCAACGGGAAGAATAAGCCCAGGTAAGTGGAAAAAATATTTCATTCGAAAAAGCCCGGACGCTGCCTTTAAACGTTTCTGTCAGATTTCTTTACTCATATAGAGCCGCTCTGTCAGCAATCTACACATTCAAAAATAGAGCAGGTGGGACTCTATGCCGAAAGAGGTGATCCCAAGCAAACATTCGCGGCAGCCTATGCAGCTCTACACATTACGAGATTACTCTTGTCCGGATAGGGTAGCCTATCGGCGACATGTATTCCCGTACCCGAAAAGCAACATCTCGGCATTTTCTGGAAGCAGTGAGGCTAAATTCAACACAGCACATCCCAAACACAAAATGATGGAAAACTTGATTCGAAAACATCTGAGGAACTTAAATGACTTATGAATTTTTGAAATGTCTGGTGAAATGTGGGACCAGAATAAGATTTTCTTTTGAAAAACAAAGTCCCTTCACTTTATGACTGTTCTTTAAAACTGGCGACTGTCATTTCATAGTATTAGCTAAGCTGACTGCGACTAATCCCCAACACTCCGAATCCAGCTAGCGAAACCCGCTACTCAATTTGCAGAACGAAATTCTCCGGGGAGAAATCAATGTAGAGGCACATAGCACAAAAAACGCAACCTTCCTCTCTAGTTTCAAGTACATTCGCATGCGTGTCACCGAACACTCAGCAAAAAGAACACTGCTCGGCTGCTCGCAAAGTGCTGCAAAAAAACTGAGGGAGAAACCGCCTCGCAGTTCAAGCTTTAGACAAATGGCTGAGACTCATCAGCAAAGAAACCTTCTATTATTAGTAAGTCTTATGTTTGATAATGACGGCAAATGTAAAAGATTAAGATTTTCCGAATAAAATAAAAATGAAAATAATTTTAAAATAAAGCACGCTCACCGCTTTTAGCGACATCTAGCCGAATTGCAGGCGTTAAAGGATTTGACATTTGTGAGTATGAAGCAGTAGCAGTGAATGACGGACCTTGCATGCATTCTAGACAATTTCCGAAGTATGGCATACAACTTCCAAATAGATTCATACTGGAGACGAGTGAAAACCTGAATGACAAATATGGTGAGTGGACTCGGTAAAAATGGAACATCATATAGATTAATATAAGAAAGTCGCAAGATAAAGAATTCAACAAATAAACATTGCCGAATGAGAAAGAAGGATGCAAATCTATTTTTGTAGGTTCAGATTTCGAACACTGGCACCTCTAACAATAAATAAGCTGCCTCTGGAAAGAAAATGTGCAATTTACCGTGACCTCAAAACCTAACTTGCGATATTTCCTGATTGAAAATAATCAAAGTATAAACCAGACAAAATTAGATTATACGAGCTAAATACTTCTGTTGTCAGTTTGAACAATAGTTCAGTCTTAAAAGGCATTAGTATAACTAACCAGCAAATTGAGAAACTCACAAAATCATTCATTTCACTGCATGATTTTTCTTTCTCAGAGCCATTCAGGGGGAAGGATTTATTGAGTACAAAATAAAAACGGCGCAACCTGCCCACGCTTCCAACAAATATAAAGCTCTTGTTACCTATCATATAGTGCAGACAAAGGTTGAGAGTCATGTTATCAAACTCATTTGCTTAAAATTCATTTGAGCTGAATAAAATGAAGCAGAAACGCATTCACTGCATCTATACTTGTCATTTTTTGCAGGGGCTTATTAGAGGCTTCTAAACATGAGCAGAAGATGAGATTTCTTTAAAGGACTATTCTTATGACATGCATAGGACTCCAGAAGACAGAAGACAGCAGAACTGAGATATACGAAGCAGAAACGTCAATCAAAAGGGTTGGAAGTCAACTTAGGCCTATTCCTACATTGTTACGCTCAGAAAAACTATCAGAACAGAAAGAGGAGTTAGTGAGTGTAAAAAACTGTTTCTATCCCAAAATGGCTTTTAGCTGAATGACAGAATTGCATTAGCCAACAAGAAAAAACATTGCTGAAGGAATTTGTCCTATGAATTGGCGCAAAAAGTCTTCTAGAAAAAAAAATGTCCTTAGCGCTAGAGTAAAATTGTTGACCGAAACTGCAATTTACAGTAAAGCTGAAGGAAGAGTCCAGGGAAGAAACAAAAACATTGAGCAAGTATAGGCGGAGAGGATTATGCAAAGATTACTGCACTAAGAAGAATGGACAAAAACCGCAGACGTCTCCGTCAAGAGAATCCTGAAATTGAAGATGCTTGACGTGGTTTAGTGAGAAACGGGCAATGTACCCTTTGCAAAATCATCCGGGTAAGGGGGTATTTTGAAGGGAATGACTCGCAGATTCCAAAGGCCTGGCTTTGCAAACTCGATATAAAAAGCCCAGCATAGCTAACCAAAATATTGACCCACTCCCATAAAGTGGAAAAGTTGCAGTGATCGATAAGTGCTTCACATGATGCTGGCTTATCTGGCCACTGTTATGGCCATTATAGGACTTTCGATCAAAAAAATACAAAACGAGAATGGAATGCAACGAGCTCACAGAAGAAAAACAGCAGTTGATTAAAGGCAGAGAATCAAAATCCCAAATACCAAGTGCTAATGAATAAGCAAATGTGTGAAGACAAGTAATATTTACTTATTTTCAGCGCTCATTTCAAAACAAAGAAAAAAACGCCGGAAATTCGGGATACTTCTGAAGACTCCTAATGCTACAAGTGAATGCCAAATTTCAAGAAAAACCTATGAGTCTAGTTCTTCTAGTTCTCTAGAGAAGAGTCGAAAAGTAAAAACGAGATATACACGTCTATTTCAAGACTTTTCATTGCCAAAGATCCAATGCGACTTTCATAGTAAGACAAATCATTATAGTCAAAGGTAGGAAAGACAATTACAGTCGAGTAGATTTCCTGCTTAATATAGTGTCCCTGCAGACGCGACAACGCTGGGGCGTCAATAATTGCCTTGCGAGTTTCCGAGTGAATGTTTTTTAGTGTTTTCTTATCTTATTCTCATTCTTTTTAGGTAAATCGTCACTGGTAAAGAAGAAGAGGGTAAGTTAAAGGATAAAGTCTCTTTTCTGAGTAGCTAATTCATCGCCTAATCTCAGATATCCATGCCGAAGCTGACCGCATCATTTTCATGCGAATTCTTGTCACTTCATGTCTCTTTCTTCTTGTGAAGTATTTTCTTGGCTAGTAGGTTTTTACGATTGACTTATTGTCTTTATCACATGAGGTTCTCGCTTTAATGATATTTCTTATGGGTGAAAGCCGAAGTTGTACAAGACAAGCCAACTAGCGTTCAAAGAAACGTCTCACAAGAAGAAAGAGGGTTGAATTGACAAAAGAAAAGGAAATGACCCAAAAAATAGGCGTAAAACTGACGCGAACTGCTTCTACGTAGATATCTGTGAATATGCGATGATGAAACTTCTCAGAAAACAGAAACTACTATCTAACCTACCCTTTTCCTCTTTATCAGCCACGAAATACCTGAAAAGCAAAGGATAAGCAAAGAGAACAGTGGAAAACATTCGTTCGGAAGCTCGCAAGGCAATTATTGACGCCTCAGCGTTGTCGCGTCTGCAGGAACACTATATTAAGCAGAAAATCTACTCGACTGTACCTATTATGGTAAAATCTAGGAACACAACAGATATGATGTAATTAAATGCTTGTCGGACCTTCCGACATCGCAACATTCCTTAACCATAAAAACTCTTCTTACCTAAAAAGGAAGGTAATCAATGCAACTGAACAATAGCCGCAACAGAGTGATGCATTGCCACCGCGAAATTCAAACTCACCTAGCGATTGCACTTCGAATAGACGCCGAATGGACTCTGATAACCTACTCTTTGATTTGAAATTTTCGCCGGCTATTTGCTTCGGACGAGCTGCACTTTCAAGCGTTCCGGAGTCAATGAAACATCAAATCTCAGATGGGAAACACAGGCAACTCGTAAATTCCAACAACAGCTATCGTAATCTGTAGGAGCTGGAAGAAGGCAGCCTGCATACTTTGAGTACAATGAAGTCTCATTCTGATGGCTACGAAGAAGTAATTTCTGAAAAGCACGCAAGCCCCAAAAACAAATATTAGAGCGAGCAGACAGATACTAGAGAATGTCTCGCAATCACTACACAGCTAACCTGTTTATTTTTTTCTGTCTTTTTCCCATCAGCACATGTCAGAACTTTCTGTTCAGTTACGTTTAGCTGTCAGAGAGTAAAACAGATATGTCACAATAAATCGCGTTTTCTTTTTAGTGGAAGCTTCCAAACAAAAAAATCTCAATGCTCACATTTTTCTGCGCTCGAGGAGACAATAATAGATTGATTGATTACACAAACAGTGAAAAGAAACTTGGACCTTGCTACAGAATGAAATAAACAGATACTGATAGGAGATGATTGACAGAACGGATTATTGCTTCATATACTACAGCATAGGACAAGAGTAATGGACAAAAGAGGAAGAGACGGGAAGCGTAAAAATGTTGGATAAACAACGATTTTCCGCGAGACTGATCAACAAGCGTGAACTACAAGTAAACCTTCACAAATCAACTTGGGACTCTCACTGCACGTCAGAGCTTAGCAGGAAATCCACTTATTCAAAAGTATCCGTACTTTTGATAGCTTATCAGGGAGAAGATGCAACTTCCTCAACCAGTCCTGTGCAGATCTGCGCTTCGGAATCAAATTAATTGTCAGAAAAGACCACCTATACAAAGAAGCAACTAAAACACGGATAAAGCGAAATGAATTCATGAGCGGCGAGCTGAAAAACGTGGAGGAAAATTCCTGGATCGATTTGGAGCGACCTATACGCTTGGGGCGCTTTATCTCACACTGCAACCTTTAAACTTGTTTCACGCAAACTTTCTTCATATCTTATCTTTCGAGCGTTTGTTTGCATAGTTGTTCGATATGTATGAGTTCTTGGATCAGTTGTGATGGATACTGCAAGGAGAAGGACACCGCAAGCATGGTCTCGCGAAAGGGTGGGTCAACATTTCAATTTCATTCGTTTTTTGAGTTTTCTAACCTTTGCCTTTATCGTTTGAAAGTTGATAATGTGGTATTTTATAACACAAAATCCGAATTCTTAGTTGCCTGGAACAAATAGCGCGGAATGTTTGTGAAAGTTAAATTTAGGTACTTTTCACTGCTTTGGCTGCTCGTTTCACTTTGGTCTTCTATTCCAACATCCACGACTACATATTTGATGTAGGTTATGCCTGCAAAATAACTTAGATAGCTTTGACTTGAAATTCCAGGTGAATTTTACTGATATCGACTATACCGTCTATAGCGATGCAGCTCGTCACGTTGCTGAGGGTAGAAGTCCATTTGCTAGGGAAACTTACAGGTTTTGTTCGCCTGTCAAATTATACATGTTTAGCTTCAACATTTTTTAAGGTATACACCAGCACTGGCATGGATTCTCCAACCCGTTGTAAGCTACAAGGACTTTGGTGAGTATGTATCTGAAAAGGATGTTGTCCCAACTGTAATATTAAGATTAACTCTGAGAATCTTTATTTTTATCTTTAGGCAAGTTCCTTTTCTGCATTTTTGATATACTTGTCGGGTGGATGTACTTTGAGATGATACCACCAAAACGGAGTAAGACTGCATCTGAAAGGTTAGCGGATAACTATTATCTCGTAATTTCGCTGTGTAAAATGTTCATTCAGCGCAGGGACGTCATCAGGTAATAGCGAGAGTAGTGAAGAAGTCGTGGAGTCCAGTGATCCTGCTTTGCTTCATGTTGTCATCTTTTGGCTAGCAAATCCCCTAACTGCGATAATATCTGCTAGGTAAGCTGGATAGTTTGCAAGTTTCATTGCAATTCTTTGATTTCCGAAAAATTCGCTTCAAAGCTTTATTTATTGTCAAGTTTGGATGCGTTTTTTGGTCAAGTGCTTTTACCTGTTTTGTTTTTAATACCTTATGCTGAGCATGATCATTTTTTCTACCCTTTTATTTATTTCGAGCATGTTGTGAAGAAGTTTTGCAGAGGAAATGCTGATGTGTTAGTGTGTGCTGCAGTGCTGTTTACCTTATATCTGCTGAGAAAAGGCCAGGTTGGTGGCGCTTGTCAGCATTTCTACCTTACTTTCTAGTTGTGCTGCCTTCGAAGCATTGTTTGTAGAAATTTTTGCTTACCAAAAATTTGGTTTGTTGGTAGTTCTATCATGTGTGTCTCTCGCATTTTTGCTTGTTTTGTGCGGAAGCTCTTTGTGGTTTTCATCTCTGTACTTTAGTGGATCGCTGCCGCCTTTGCGCATGGTGCACTGGCTGTGCACCTGAAAATTTATCCTTTGATCTACTTACCATCCATATTCCTGTATTTGTGTCAGTTCTCTTTCGCTGATGGACTTGTTGCCAGTGTGAAACAACTATTTTCCAATTGGAAAGGCTTTACTTTTGCTGCGGTTGGTGCTCTTGTGTTTTATTTTTATAAGTCCTCTGCAATTCATTCAGCTAGTATCAACTGGGTGTACTTTAGATAAGTTTGGGTAGCTTTGGAGTAATTGTTGCATTTTTCTATTACATCTACGGTGATCTCTTCTTGGAAGAATTCCTTCTTTATCACATCAAGAGGAGGGATATCAAACACAATTTCTCGCCATATTTTTATGTAAGGATATTTTTTCTGTTTATAATGGAAAAAATATCTTCCTTTTCAAGCCTCTGGCTTTGGTGGACAAAAATGTGACTCTTTCAAAAATTATTGGTTTCTTGGCATTTTTGCCCCAGGCTTATCTTGTAGTCTACTTTGCATTCAAGTAAGTTCGCAGTGAGACCCTTACTTTCATACAAGCGACAATGCTGTTCAGGTACTATCGCGACCTCCCATTTTGCTGGTTTGTTAGCACCTTTGCTTTTGTTACCTTCAATAAAGTGTGCACAAGTCAGTATTTTGTTTGGTACATCGTATTCTTGCCCCTCATTGTGGATAGAATAAAGGTAAGTTGTAAAACATGTTAGAGTATTCTCTAGTTTTTGATGTTTCTCTCATTCAGATGACAACCAACGAAGTACTACGCCTCATCACGATGTGGTTTGCAAGCCAAGCAGTATGGCTCTTCTTTGCCTACCTCTACGAGTTTCGAGGCTGGCACACTTTGGAGCTGGTGTTTGTGGCTTCAGTAGGATTCCTTTTGACCAACATTTATGTACTAGTCAACGTTCTCAATGCTTACACGGGGTTAGCCGATTCTGGCAAGGCTAAGAAAGCTTGAGAACTAACATAAGATCCGCACGGTTGTTGAATTGCGATCTCGATCATGGTTGTGACTTTTAATAGTGCAGTGCTTTGCAGATAATGATGCATGTGTGATTAGGCCTAGAAATTTCTTTAGCCACCCTGTCTAATGTATGGCATTTCATTTACTTGCTGATTTTTCCTTGAAGTATAATTTTCCTGTATCACGCAGTTCCTCGGCGAACTTTGCAGGAAACTGACAAAAGTTGTACAGAAAATATAGAATTTCTTGATTTTTGAGTGTTTTTGGACCAGCATGGTCATCTACTTTTGTATTCATAGGAATTACTTCAGTTTGTAATGTTTTTTGTCAGCGAATTCTCTTCTTGATTGGAGCATGTTGCTTGCTCTTCGGATTTTGCCAACCGTAACTTTTTTGTTTTGCTGAATGTTCTAATGTATTTATTCCAAAACTTTGCCTAGTCACTGGTTATTTATAACAGTGTTTACGAAATGGATGTAATTTTTTGGTTTTGCTGAATCTCTTTATGTCATCAGAAGCAATAAACTTATACTCTCACTTCGGTTCAGCAGTCTTGAGTAGGTTGCTACCTTGAGTTTCTGATCTCTGCAGCCGATATGCGCACTCGTCTTTTGGTTCACCTCTAACTGTCTCATAGGCCAGATCAATAAACAGTGCTGAAAACAACCACAAAGAACAGTATACGACCGAATCATTCCAAAGTGTACCGTGCAAAAGTAAACTGCTAAATACGCGAAATTTTGAGTATCACATTTTTGAGGCTGCCGAAGTTTGCACACTGAACTAGAGAAGTTTTCGGTGTGTTGAGGTCTCAATACAGCAAACGTTGTACCACGAACTGCAATGGATGGCATTATCCTTGAAATACCCAAAAGAAACCTACAAATACATCCTCAAGCAAATAATACTATTGATTCGTTTTCAGTGGGATTCTTTAGCTCAGTCTAATGGTATTTTACCTTATCGGATTAGGTCTAGGTGATGTTGAAGACATCACAGTCAAAGGTTTGAATATTGTAAGGTAATTTTTTGTGGTCGAAATTATAAAATGCATCAATTGTTACAAAAACCAACATAGGAAATGCAAGCGGGTCCATTTGGAAGCATACACGAGCATCCTCTGCTACGGTTTGGATAAATCGAAGCTGGAAGAGTTCTATGGCCGTGAAGTAATCGAGGCTGATCGTACGGTAGTCGAGCAGAATTCTGGTAATTTTTCTTCTCCCTCGCGATTTCTGAAATTCTACAAATTCGAAACGAATAGGTTTTTTCCTCGAGCTGAAATAAACGCTATTATCTTGAGAAGAAAGTATATATCACGTAGAATATCACTTGATCAGGATACTCCTTAAAAAGGCAAACAGGTTGTCAAGCCCTGAGAAGTAGAAATGGGGTAATCTGGGACACATTCAATAGAGTGCTGGAAATTCGTCCGAAAGAAAGCATGAGTAGATTTCACTCGAAATAACATTTCCGAATGACCGATTTTTGGACAAAACAGCGCTCATTTTTTTGGGGCAAAAATGTTAAACAAATTTGAATTTTTCCTCAGATTAATTCTTCTTGTCATGTTCGAATTTAAAAAGTCGATTGTAAAATATTCAGATGAGATATTAGATGGAGCGGATGTAGACGATGTGGCGATGTTGGTCGTTGGTGATCCTTTTGGCGCCACCACGCATACGGATTTGGTCCTTCGAGCTAAAGAAAGAAATATTCCAGTTAGTAGATTGGATGTCTGAAGCTAAACAAAATTCACAAAACATATGTTCCAGGTAAAAGTAGTGCACAATGCTTCCATAATGAATGCGGTGGGATGTTGCGGACTCCAGGTTTGTTCCCTTTACTTTAAATTGTGGTATTCGCTGGGGCAGGAAGAGAGTAGGTCGAAATTTTGAAAAAAAATGGAATGCTTCTGAGGAGGAAGCTTCTCATGATTATCGCAAGCCAGTACAGGTCTTCATTGAGGCGTAGCGCTGGAGAGACCTTCCGATAGAGATTCAACAAAGCTACTGATTTTTACAATTTACATAGTAATTTTAGCATTTCGAATATAAAGCTATTTGCATGGTCTGAATCATGCCACTAGAAGTTTAGATTTATATTTGGTTTTGCTCTTCGTTGTGTTCACAACATCATAATTAATCATGAAAAAAGCAATAATTATGATTATAGCACATGCGCTTGAGTTTATGGCATTCCGAGAGTTCCAAGCAATTTATATGTTCACTGCATCTCAAATACAGAATTCGAACAAAATGTGTATTTGCGATGATCACTTCGCTAAATTCTGACATTGAAAAATCGCGTTTTTGCCATCAAAATTTCCTCGTTCTCTTCGACATTCCAAGATAATTGCCAATTATCTCTAGTTTTACTCCTTAACAGTATTTTGGGTCAACGTTCTTATAATATGTATGTCCTTCAAGAAATATTAGGTCGGTCCGAAAGTTCGTACCGTTTTTCAGGCCCATGCTTAAACCACTTGAAATTGAGATGGACAAAAGTTGTGGGTACTATTCCTCTTAACGGTTATGTTTTTGTTCAGATTCCCTTAACGTCCGCTCATTAATCTGCAGGGATCTCCAACTCATGATTTTCGCCCATCTTGAGTTTGGCTTTTATTCAAAATTTCCACTTTTCAATTTTTGGACTAACTTTGATGATAATTGGATAGAATAAACAAAATGCAATATGATGAATTTTTTTGGCTTCATTAACCAAGTTTTCGTTGATTCTTAAGATAATTTTTCCAAAAGCCCTTAGTTCTGCGAAGTAGCGACACATTCGTTCCAAATAGTGAAAAATCTTCGCAATTTTGAAGTTCCAAAAGCAGATTATGACTTAGCACTAATATTAGCAAGCAACTGAGCTTTTAGCGGGTCATAAAATTGAATTCCGAATTTTCTGTGTACAGCCTGGGACGCGTCTGAAAACAATAATTGTAATGATTATCTATCCTTAAATATCAGACAGATCAGGAAGAAAAGAAGTATATCAGAGAGAGGTGAAAAAGCTGCATCGAGTGGCACCTTGGTTCCAAAAGTTGAAAATGTAAATTTAAAAAAAAGCAAACTCAAAATGGGTAAAAATCATGGGTTGGAGATTTTGTCGATTATTTGCACGGTCATCAAAGGGATCTAAACAAACGTAATTTTTAGAAAGAGGAAGAAATTTTGCATCAGATAGTGCTTACAGCGTTTGTCTATCTTTATTCTAGGTGGTTTGAGCATGGGTCTGAAAAACGGCACGAACTTTCGAACCGAACTAATATATGAAACTCCTTAGTTTTCCATATATTTCGACGGAAAAATGCAACCGTTGTAGTTATACAACTTCGGTGAGACGGTGTCGATCGTAATGTGGTTGGAAGGATGGGAGCCAGATAGCTATTACGATAAAATTGCTTCAAATATGGAGAAGGGCTTTCACACCCTGTGCTTGTTAGGTATTGATTCCTATCTTTTCTCTGTTATATTCCAAAAGTCGAACTTCAGATATCAAAACTAAGGAACAGTCCATCGAAAACATGATGAGGTATTGTATGCAAATGAGCAGAGAAAAGTTAAACTTAATCTCTTTTTTTCAGGGGTAGAAAAATTTACGAGCCACCTCGGTATCTCACTTGCGCCGAAGCTGCTTCACAGTTGCTAAAGATCGCTGAACGGAAGAAGGCAGCAAAAATTGAACCAGGTCTGTTGATTACGACGTTCTTCTGCTGGAAAGTGCGCTTAGGATCTATATTCAGTTTATAACGGGTCTTCACCGTGCGTGGGATTAGCTCGAGTTGGCTGGGATGATCAGAAGGTATGGTTTCCCACATCCATTTAAACTCTTTTCCCTTTGCGTCTTTTGGGGCTCAAATGTAGGAAAAGACTGGTTTCTTTTAGTAGAGAACTGATCATCGATCCTCTCAATTACTTTGGGATTACTGTATGTACCTTGACATAAATTGCGCCGCGTCCAGTTTTTGCCACAAGAAAGAAAGGCTAAAGTTCAGCTAAACCTAAAATGTAGATTGTAAAGGACAGAAACGATACGACATATATAAAAGCCCAAGGTTTATTTTTTTGTATCATTTCCATTTTTCATATAACCATTTCTCTTTTCGATCCTATTTTATCTTAACCAACTGCATCAGAGACCAATATAATGTTTATTTCTGATTCGCTTATCCGAATGCACCACAACAGAGGTTTCATGGTTTGTGCAGACTTTCTCAAACGCCAGCTAGATTATCAATCATCGGTAAAATGCTGGAGCCCTACTGTAACCCTAATATAATGGATGCTATCGTTATCTTATTTCCCTTTGTGGAATCCAAAACCACGCTCCCAAATACTATCTAAATCTTCCGCAAAAGAAATTCAGAAAATGCATTAGCAATGATCAAACATTGAGGTGATTACAATCTTTGGGTAACTCTGGATTTTTGTCTGGGAAAGTTTTTAAGTCCTGGAAATACTGAGGATCAGAATGTTTCTATGCGGGCACCCTTCTTGGTTTCATAAATATGTCAGCTAGGTTTCTGAACTGTCCTAAGAATTTACTTTCTCTTGACTTCTAAGCAGAAGACTTGAAACCTTTGATGTAACAATGCACCTGTAAACAAGAATTGTTGATTCGAAATATCATAATTTCACTATTAGTGGAAGTCCTATCATGGGTTCTCAAAATGTCCTGAAGCCATTTTAGCGGGACAGAAATAATGTACAGTCGAGTAGACTTTCCGCTTAATATAGTGTGCTTGCACAGTTTATGAAATGCGGTAAAATTTGCGCGTGAAGAGGTAGCTGCGCCAGCATTGCCGGCATACTGCGCGCGCAACTGGTCGGCGTCACAGTCGAAGCTAGTTCCTCAGCGCAAATTTTACCGCATTTCATCTTCTGTGCAAGCACACTATATTAAGCGGAAAATCTACTCGAGTGTACTTGATTTAGTATTAGGTTGGCACATAAGTTTTGCAACTTTTCCCATAACTTTTTTCCTACTTTATGTAGCAATCTCATTTTGTGGCATCATGTAGATTGTGATGTAGGCTGCAAGTCTGCGCAAACCGTTTGATTTTTGATAACGTAGTACAAAAAATCTAAACATTTTTTGAAAACTGCTGAAAATTGAGGTTTCACGATTTTTTGGCAAACATGAAGCCCTACGAAACCTGATTCAAACATTTGAAAAAGCAATTATAGGCATCATGTAGCTGGAAGTTGGCACTTTGGAATCAGTGTAAAAGAAATGAAATCTAAACACAAATTAAGGTGGGGCGCCTTTGAGAAGTTGAACAAGTCAAATGCGTCAAATTTTGAAGGCAATTTGTCAATAACTAAGCTGCGAAAAGTCAGAATTCGCTATAACATTGCACTATAGGGTAATCCTATGCGGTAAACCCGAATTTCATATTCATTTGTCGCTGAAATGAAATTCATTTTTTGATCTCACGAACGAGGCCTTTTCATGCGAAACGGATCTCATTTTTGTGATCAGCATATCAAATAAGCCCTATAGGCCAAGTTTCAGCAAAATCTGATGCATTCTAAAATTTTTCCCATAGTACCGTAAACCTACCGTAACCCTCACACAAGATGGTAAAATTCGGCAAAAATGTGTGCATTAGAAGCTTACATCATATCCCTTATTTTGCCAAAAAATGAATGCGCTAGGTTCAAATAGACAAAAGTTATATAAAAAGTTGCATTACTTATGTGCCAACCTAATAAACATTTTCAATGTTTAGATAGTCTTCTGCACTTTGAAGGAAATGTCAGCCTGTGATCTTGGGCCCCCTCTTCATTCACTGATACTGCCAGGTCACATGCATCCGTTGGAACTTGATATGCTCAATACTTTCAAGCTTGAAAGCTAAATTTGCAAAATCTTCTCCGTTCTGTATTTTAAAATTATCCAAACTGAGCTCTACTAAACATTGTATTACATATTCGTTCCAAGTTATATAACGGAAGAAACAAGATCATCTTCATTATTTTCTTATTCTGTACTTCATGTTGCTTATGTTGTTATGTTGTTATTGTTACTCATTGCATGTAAAACTTTCATTCAAATACCTGAACACAAGATAAAAACTAGATTCAGGCATATAGTCTTAGCAAACCCTAGTCTGGACCAAGTGGATACATAAAATGTGCAGACAACACTAAAAATAACAAAGATCACAGTATTATGCTAGTATGTTACTCACTAAGATATGCTCTCTAATTGGGCTAAATTTAAGGCTATTGAGATAACAACGAATGTTCTGGAAATGCACAACGAAAGTGTGTAATGCATAATGCACAATGCGCATATGATGAATGTAGAAGCAGCATTCTACGCAAACAGCGATTTCCTATAACAAAACTAAAGAAAGCTAGCAATAGGAAAGGAGTTCCAATATCTCGTGTAGTGGGCAGAATAGAGCAAGATGGCGTGAATATTCTTCCGTAGGCTGAATGAGATGTCAGCTCATCCAAAAGATGAAGAATAGCAAATGTGGGTTTGTGTTCAAATTCGATTGCCTATTTTTTCGACAATGTGTCATTCGAATTCGTTAACGAGCTCGTCAATGATGCATAGCCTTTTGGTCGCTTCTTCCAATTGCTGTCCATTGAGAACTTTGTCGTGGCATCTTGCCAATCGGGCCAGTACCTGTAAATGGCAAAGCATCAGCAAGATAAAAAAAACCCCTGGATATCTCAAAGGCAGGGGTGAAAGCGATTTTCGCCATTCTGGACAGCCTCCCGGACGAATCCTTTTGCTGATGTTGTATATCGTTTGAGGACCAGTCGTCCGCGAAGGCAGCCCAACAGTAAAGTCCATTTATCTACCCAAAAGCAGGAATTAACAAACTGATTCTGTGTACCTGATTTCTCACATGGAAAACGATTGAAAGGCTTAAGCCACTGCTCAAACCGCAGATATAGATAATTCTTCGCCGAAAAACTCAGCTCTCAAATCTCGCCACTACCGTACCTCTCCCGAGTGTAGCGTTCTAAGGTACGGTATGGACGAGAGTTCGAAGCCAGTCACGGTCACGAATGAATCATAGCCGCTTGAACAATGGCTTGATTAAGATTTTTTTGATAATTTTCCATATAAGCAAAAAGGTTCTCAAATTTATGGACCACACTGCCTTTGTGAAAAGTTGAAAAAAAGCGAATGTTCAGATTTTCACTCACTCAGAGTTTTTTTTTTCATTTCAGGAAAGTTTGCTTGTGATGTTTAGATCTGAATTTTAGTGTTTATAAAAAATGTCAAAATTTGGTTGTTTTCAACCCTGCCGAGTGCTGAATGGACGTGGTAATTTGACGGCCAATCACCGATCACATGGACCAATCACAGGCGAGCAAATTAGTCAATCGATCCATATAAACCAAAAGGATGGTTGCTCTAAGCCTGCGTCATTAATGCTTCCAAAACATGTTTCGCACGAAAACGGCTTATCAATTTACCTAATTTGTGGTTTTACTATCGTAATATACGATTATGCCAAGTCTTTACTTCTTACCTAGTTGCTGCTCTTGAATTGTACATACGCCTGCCCTAGTCATTCTTTTCCCCCAAATTTTTAAGAACATTAAATAATATCTACCTGTTCTTGATACGCTCTACATATTCGATCAGGTTCGGGCATTCACTCTTGATGACGTTGAGATGTTCGTTCTCGTAAGGAGCATATACGATCTGCGCTAAGAACGCAAATAATGTGGCGTCAATCTGTAATTACGTCTTCTAACTTGATTCAGAGGAAAAGAATTTTTCAACGTACTCGAGTTGGCTTAAATCCGGTGAAATAGTGTTTTGTACCCAAGAATTTGCTTATCGAACGAAGGTCATCGCTTCCGATATTTATTTGTTCTTCACGGCTGTGCTTTCCCATGGCTGACCAAGTCAACATTGAAGACACCTGAAAAGGCGATCGCCAATAATTTCAAAGGGAAAAACATCAGAAAAAAATAGTCTAACGATAAGCAAATTTTAAAACTCACGTTGTTAACATATTTTCTTTTAAATAAGTAAATCCAAATAGGATAGAAAAATCCAAAAACTTCTTGCGGTAGCATATCGGCAAGCTAAATGAAAAAAAACGTGTATCACTCCACCTAACCCCCCCCCCTCAATGGAAATCTTCAATTGTCATACCTGTGAAACATTTTCCAATCTGAATATTTGATGTGACTTCGCCAGCGAATCATGCGCCATTTCTTCAAAGGCACGTGACAAGGCTTTTTGTTCATCGTGAAGATGATCTTCGAGTTTGACGTCCATGATCTTGGTGAGATCCCTAAATCAGCCTTCTTTGATTATCACACTGAGATCACAATGATTGGATGAACGATTTTAAACCTGAACCTTCCGAACCAATCCCCAATGGGTCACTGGAAAACCCAACGCCAAAAATGCCTAGATACGATATGACAGTGGCGTACCAACACCCCCCCCCCCGAAAATGGGTCGCGAAACTTTTGAAAATTACTTACATGAGTAGGGGTTTATTTATACTAGCAAATAATCAGAATAATTCTTCAAATACGTCTAAAAGTTCAAATTAGCATTGTAAAATTTTTTTTCGGTGCGTGGCAGCAGTTATTTAATTTTTCGAGATTTTGGGCCCGCAATTGTGGAAAGTGCCCCCAACAAAACTTTCGAGGCATATGGCTAACGCCACACACCTTTATAGCAAAAAGATTTTGTTCCCATCCCTCCCAAACGGAAGTCCTGGGCCTGCCACTGTGATAGTAATGAAAAATGTCTGCCTCCAAGTATTTGTTAAAGTTCCACAGTATTGATTTATCGATTATCACAAAATTTATGCGGATCCATGGAAACACAGATGATCTTAGCTCAACCACTCCAAACTTGGGAAAACAGAATGTTGTGTTAGTGATCGTATATGATCAGCTGTTTTTCCTCGTAGTGATTGATCTGCCCTCGCGCATTCGATCTTAGCCTCAGAGTGCGCGGGAAATTGAGCGCTATAAAAGGCGCTCACTCTTTGCCTCATTCAGTTCAGTTCGGTTCTACAGTTCTAGAGTTCAGTTTTCATCATTCGCCTCACATTTATTATTCTCTATTATTTCTCTAATAAATCTCTTGGTTTCCTTCTGTGCCCTACAGGACGAAGAGTCAAAGTGTCCGAAGGCGAGGACACAACAGTGGCGATCAGGAGGCAGCGGCTACTAGCGAAGAAGTAGCCGTAACGAAGCACGCCAGGAACCACGCCGAAGAAGCTGCAGGAAAACGAAATCTCGAAAGCTGGAGTGGTCACAAATGGCGATAATAGGCACAGAAGACTTGGTGATCATGTTCAAGGAACTGATCAGAGAAGACCAGAAGAGCCTCAGGGAATTGATGAGAGAAGAAAGGCAAGAAATCATGGAGACATTTCTGAAGCACATCGCCGGTACTGGACAGCCCAGTACGTCGTCGGAAGTTCCAAACATGATGTCCGCGCTGAGCAACCGGATCGAAAAATTCTACTTCGACCCAGAAGCGGACGAATGCTTCAGTAAGTGGTACGCTCGTTATAAGGAAGTCTTCGTCGAAGATGCGAAGCAGCTGCCAGAGAGTGCCAGGGTGAGGCTTCTCTGCGAAAAGCTCGACAAGGAATGTTTCGAAAAATATCAGAGGCATGTGCTACCGAAAGAAGTGACTCTGATTAAGTTCGAAGAAACCGTCGGAACATCAAAGCAACTATTCGACGTGAAGATTTCCGAATTTACAATGAGGTACCAGTGCTTAAAGCTACAGAAGAGCGACGCCGAAGATTACCTCATGTACACTGGAAGAGTGAACGAATTGTGCGAGAAAGCGAAGATTCACGAACTCGATAGCGATGGGATCAAATGCTTGCTATGGATATTTGGCCTGAAGAGCCAAAAAGAAGCTGAAATAAGGCAGCGACTCATCGCCGTGCTGGACAAGGAATACAAGGCTGGACGAAAGATGTCGCTGCAAGAGTTGTACCTGGAATGTGAGAACTTCCTCAGTCTTAAGAAGGATAGCGAGACTATTGCTGGTTGTGCGAAGATTGTCGAAGCAACAAGCAAGGAGGAACCCACGAAACTGGAATGCTGGAACTGTGGTAAAGCTCACTTTGCTAGGGAATGCAAAGCGAAGCTATGGTTTTGCAAGAAGTGCAAGGCTACAGGTCACAAGGAGAAGTATTGCGAACAAGTGACGAAGAGAAAAGAACTTCTTCAGCAAGAACGAAGAATCCACAGAAGCAGCGACACCATTAAGAACAGAAGTTGGACGAAACCCAAACGTCATGTGCATAGCGTAGCGAAGATTGCAAATGCGATGGTGGATGTCAACTCGACACGCATGTATATCGAAGCAAAAGTGAATAGTTATCCAGTCAGCTTCCTGTTAGATACTGGATCGGACATCACATTGTTGAACGAATCAATTTGGAGAAGCTTGGGCTCTCCTCGGCTGGAAAACACAGACGTGGTCGTCAAGAATGCTAGTGGAGGCTCCATGAAAGTCCATGGAAAGCTATGGTGCGAGTATGAAATTAAAGGATCCAGAAGCGAAGGCTACGCATACGTGACGCCCCACAACTCACTGCTAGGATTAGAGTGGATCCAGAAGAACGAAGATATGTTCTACCACTTAAGCAGAATGGTTGCCGAAGTGAAGGCAGAGCAAGCCAAGGACATCGCTTTGAAGCTAAAGGAAGCCTATCCAGAAGTCTGCGAAGAAGGTCTAGGACTCTGCACAAAGGAGAAAGCGCACCTGAGAGTTGACGAAAACGTTCGTCCAGTATTCAAGTCTTGTAGGCCTGTCCCCCATGCTGCGCTCGAAGCCGTCGAAAAGGAGCTTGATAGGCTGTTGAAGCTAAGCGTTATAAGGCCAGTAACGCACAGTGATTGGGCAGCTCCCATCGTATGTGTAAGGAAAGCGAATGGGAAGTTGAGAGTTTGCGCTGATTTCTCGACTGGACTCAACAAAGCGCTGCAGTCGTACGATTATCCGTTACCATTGCCGGAAGATATATTCGCATCCCTCAATGGAGGTACGGTGTTTTCGCAGATAGATCTGTCGGACGCTTATCTGCAGATCGAGTTATCAGAAGAAGCGAAGAAACTGGTAGTGATAAATACGCATAGAGGATTGTACCAGTACAATAGACTGCCTTTTGGAATCAAGACGGCACCAGGGATCTTCCAGCAAATCATGAACAAGATGGTGAGCGGATTGCGAGGGGTAGCAACCTACTTAGACGACATCTTGGTCTGTGGAAGAACCGAAGAAGAACACATGGAGAATCTACTTGCTCTTTTTGCAAGGATAGCCGAATATGGATTCAGGATTCGTCTAGAGAAGTGTTCTTTTGGTAAGCCAGAGATACGATACCTTGGCTTTATAGTGGATCGAAATGGCCGAAGACTGAATCTAAAGAAGATCGAAGCAATCAAGAAGATGGAAGAGCCGAAAAGTGTTAGTCAACTAAGGGCTTTCCTTGGCATGATAACGTACTATGCGGCGTTCATGCCGAAGATAAAGGATCTTCGTGGGCCATTGGACGCGATGCTGAAGAAAGGTGCGAAGTGGGAATGGACTCGAACACATCAAGAAGCGTTCGAGAAGCTCAAAGATACATTGTCGAGTGAGCTGAATCTTGCTCACTATGATCCAAGACAGAAGATCGTCGTGGCAGCGGACGCCAGCGATTATGGAATCGGATGCGTGATATCGCATAGATATGCCGATGGATCCGAAAAGCCAATTGCACATGCATCGCGATCTCTTACGAAAGCAGAGAAGAACTATTCGCAGATAGAAAAGGAAGCATTGGAAATTGTCTTTGCTGTCAAGAAATTCCACAAGTATGTATTCGGACGAAAGTTTCTACTACTGACGGACCATCAACCACTGTTAGCCATCTTCGGCGATAAAAAGGGAGTTCCAGTCTACTCCGCTAATCGACTCATGAGATGGGCTACAATCCTGCTTGGATATGATTTTGACATAGAATATGTCAAGACTACGAAGTTTGGACAAGCAGATGGCTTGTCACGGTTGATGAAGAAGAGTCAGAATAACGAAGAAGACGTCGTGATAGCTGCCGTTGAGAACGACGTGAACTTCATGTTGAAGAACTGCATAAGGAAATTGCCAGTGACGATATCAGATGTGCAATCCTACACGAAGAAAGACCCAGTGCTACAAAGAGTGATGACCTGCGTGAAGAAAGGGCAGTGGCCAGACGTAAGTGGAGAACTGGCACATTTTCGAAATCGAAGAGAGACATTGTCAATCGTGGAGCAATGTCTGATGTCAGCTGAAAGGGTTGTGGTACCAAAGGAGCTTCGAGGAAATGCTCTAAAAGAACTACATAGTGGTCATCCAGGGATTGTAAGGATGAAGAAACTTGCTCGAAGTTACGTCTATTGGCCGAATATCGACAAAGATTGCGAAGACTTGGTACGAAGATGCACGAAATGTCAGGAATTAGCCAAAAATCCGACGAAGGTACCATTAGAAGCATGGCCATCCGCGACTCGAGTGTGGCAGAGGATACACATCGACTTCGCTGGACCTATGCAAGGAGTCTTCTACTTGGTAGTAGTAGACGCATACAGCAAATGGCCTGAAATGATCGAGATGACCAATATCTCGGCTGCGAAGACGGTGAAGGCTTTGAAGAACTTGTTTGCGAGGTATGGATTACCGCAAACAATAGTGAGCGACAACGGTACACAGTTCACGTCGGACTTGTATAAGAAGATGTGTGACGAAGGTGGAATCATACACATAAGGACTGCTCCATACCACCCCCAGTCGAATGGACAGGCAGAGCGTTTCGTTGATACGCTGAAACGCGGGATCAAGAAACTAGAGGGGGAGGAGAGGCCAACAGAAGAGACTATAAATGTGGTGTTACAAGCGTATAGGACAACACCAAACACGAACTTGAACGACAAGACACCAGCAGAATTATTTCTGGGCAGAAACTTGCGTACAAGACTAAGCCTGTTACTACCAAAGTCAGAAGATGCCGAAGATCCACTCGCACGACGAAGAAGAGAACGCATGGAAGAACAATTTGACAAGAAGCATGGAGTCGTTCGGAAACACTTTGAAGTTGGCGACTTAGTGTACGCTAAGCAGTGGAAGCCACCCCACTTCCACTGGATGAAGGGAATCGTGATGAAACGTATAGGACCTGTCAACTACGAAGTAATGGTTGGCAATGAAATCTGCAAGAAGCACGCAAATCAGCTGCGGCATCGAAGCGACAGTGAACAGCTCGCCGTACACCAACAACTCCAACAACAGTCCGAAGCATTGAAGATACTCTTAGATGTTTTGACAGAAGACGACACTCTACAGAGGAATGGCAGTGTAGCTGATGAGAATCCCGAGCAAGCGATCGCGAGCGATGCGCCAGCACCCGTGGATTCAGCGACATCGACGTCGACATCAAGCCACAAGCCGTCCACGCCGCCGACAACGCTTCGGAGATCGAGCAGAACGAGAAGACCTGTACAGCGGTTCCAACCTAGTCCATAGTATGTTATTGTATGTTTGTTTCATTAGTTTTTTTGTTGTTTAAATGGTAGTGATGTCTATGTATGACCGATTTCTTAGCTTTTGTAATTCATGTTTTTTGTCGTAGGCTAGTTTTGTGTAACTACCCTACTGGGGGAGGTGTTGTGTTAGTGATCGTATATGATCAGCTGTTTTTCCTCGTAGTGATTGATCTGCCCTCGCGCATTCGATCTTAGCCTCAGAGTGCGCGGGAAATTGAGCGCTATAAAAGGCGCTCACTCTTTGCCTCATTCAGTTCAGTTCGGTTCTACAGTTCTAGAGTTCAGTTTTCATCATTCGCCTCACATTTATTATTCTCTATTATTTCTCTAATAAATCTCTTGGTTTCCTTCTGTGCCCTACAGGACGAAGAGTCAAAGTGTCCGAAGGCGAGGACACAACACAGAACATTGATGAGAAAACACGCTAATTGATGGTGATATTTCGAAAAATTCTATTCCAGAATTTTCCTTCCCTAAACCCTCCCAATTTCTTTCTGAAATGTCAAATCAACAACGCTTTCTACCAGTTATTGCGTTCCTATGGAAATTAGGAGTTTACTGGCAGGTAGAATCGATATGGAAAGAAATGAACTTTTGAACCGAAATGAAGTAAAACTCTCCAAATTTGCTAGATACAACCCTGCAAAACTAACCGAATGATGAACGATGAATCTGGATACTCGACACCTTCATATTCAATAAATGGTAATGTTCCCTCTTTCGATCGTGGTGATAGCAAGCATGGAATATTCTGGAAAAAATTGCAAGCATTTCTAGCATCCGTTCCACATTTGCTCGTTATCGTATAATCTGTTGACATATGGCTTGTCAGTGCAGCCAGTAGTATTTACACAGCAAATAAAGATAGGAGAGGTTATGGGTTGCAATGCAATTGAGGGTTTTTTTTGTAAATGTTCGATTGTATAGAAGCAGCTAGGAATTTTCTTGAGAGCAAGATATTTACTCAACTGAGAAAAAAAGTTAGAAAAGCATTTTCCCACCTCATATGGAATTTCAGCCATGCGAAGCCATGTTTCGACTTTGAGACATGGTGCCGAGAAACTTGGCACAAGTTTCGTTCGTGGGAATTGATAGAGATAAACAACTCCTGAAATGTTGAGGTAAAATGGGTATTTTGAAGAAAGCGTTCAAGCAAATTTGGTTACCAGGGTTCTTCCATAGGAACTAATTTGGAAAGCCCAACTAAGTCGCCTCGCACATCATCATTCATTTTTGAATGAAAGAAACCGAATTCTCAACTCTCGCCCATACCGTACCCTTTCCCAAGTCCAGCATCCCCGGGTACGGTACTGGGCAGGAAGTTGAGGCTAATTTTCTCGGCCGTTAATGAATCATAAGAGCTGCCACTTAGGCAGTAGCATTGTTAAGATCTCCCAATCAGTCCCCATGTAAGAACTCCAGATACCCAGATTTTTTAGAATACTGCCTTCTCGGTCGTTACTTCTCCTACTTACCACTCTTCCAGTCCTCCTTCAGTGGACTTTTCCTTGGCTTTGTCATTAACCATTTATAGGGAATATAAATCATCAAAGCTAAACCACCAGCTACGGCGGCCTTCCCCCAATTTGGCAATGACGAGAGCTGATTGGAAAAATCCTCCAGGCTTGACATACTGAAAATGTGATGGATTTTAGTGAAATTCGATAGGATTACTGGAAAAAACACAATCGATTGAGGGACGAGGAAAAGTGTGTACATGGATAACAATTCAAATCATGTAGAAATGCAGCTAGAGAATTTTTGAGAGAGGAATCAGGATTAGGAAGGCTATAGAAAAATCAGAAATTATATAGAGGCTGTGGTGTGCATATATGCGCCAAAAAATTTGAGAATGGCTATACCAGAAACTCTTCAGACTAGAAATTGAAAAAACCTCCATTCTCCATATTCAACAAAATATTTAATATCCAGTGCAAGACTATGTATGAGTCATCAATCGTACCCAGACTGCTTGCCTCCAATGCTGACTCATCCGTGGGCCAGAAAATCGCGCAAATCCAATGAGACTGGCCCAGCCGACGAAAATCATCTAAGCTTGAGCGTAATAAAATGAGCTGTACTTTTCCGTTATCATAGTGGACAGTGGGCAGTTGCTCCGTCTCATGCAAGAAGATATTGCACTTTTGCTAGCTTTTCCTGTTCACTGCCGAGCTCTGCAAAACTCAGCAAAAGATAAAATCTGCAATCAAGAAACACTGGCTCTCCTCTAAATTTTACTACCTGCTCCTTTTCTTCACAAAAGCAAGATTTCTATCTACAGAACTGAAGTTTTTAGAACTATGGGCATGAGTAAATAGTGGTAAACAGCTGCAAAAAAGTTCTTGGTGACGTAAAATTATCATTCAAAATTGAGATTAATATAGTTTGAATTTGAAAAAACCTAGGTTGTTTGAGAACTTACAATGTGATTAATGCGCAAATCATCTGACTCGCTCTTCCATGAATATACGCAACTTCGCAGAAATGAATAGGAAGTTGAATTTTTCAAAATATTTTGCATGGCAAGACCATAATTTTACGATGATAATCAAATATCATGTTAAAGATTTCAAAAGCTCTGCAGACTCAAATATTCAAATGAAATAGTTCAATGCTCTGGATATGAAAGTAGTTAGCGTGGACTAAGTCTGCAATTTGTACTATGAGGTCAATCAGCAACAATTATCTACAATTTCAGGATGGAAACAAAATCAGTTTGGAACTTTAATAAAAATAAAAGCATTGAAGTAGAGAACAGCTGAGATCCAACATACTTAAATGAAAAAATAAAAATAAGCAAGTATAAAAGAAATTATGTTATTGAAAACAAACTAAAACCTATGTAAACGACGAGTTTTAAGAACACAACTAGCTAAAACAAAATTTGAACATTTGAAGATTTTCATGAATTGTGAAAATGTCGAAATGTCACAGACACATTGTATATGACCTCAGTACACTTAGGCTGCGATCAGAGTTTTCTACAACCAAAAAAGTAGGAAACTCGGAATAAAGTTGAAAAAATGCGCGAAATTATATGAAATTCCGATTTTTCGATTCCTAAAACGCCGAAGAAAACCGAAACTTTTGCTGAAGCCTGTGGTGAATCCTTATAATGAAGTCATTACTGCTTTTCCTAAAAGAGGAGCCATGAGAGAGTCGCCAGAAAGTGTGAGCTCGGCAAACATTGCTCGCATCAGCTCTCGATGTCACCGAGCGAGAGAGATAGAGATACAAGTGCCATGACACCTGCATCAGCATGTGTTTAACCAGAGTACTCTAACCTATTCCCGGAGCCGATCAATAAGCACTCAAACAATGTAAAGTGGTATTTTCATAATGAGCACGAGCGAAAGCGGCAAATACTGCACGTTTAGTGCTGGTTTGCGTCAAGAGAATGAAAAACGAAGTGGAGCAGAATAAGCAAGTCATCAGAGCTGGCGCCAATCAGTCATGGCGTCAAAGAAATCGGGGGCAAGGGTTCAAGAAAAAAAAACCATTCAGCTACTGATGTAAAATGATTCCTACCATATCACGTACGAAAGGTGACGAAAAACTACGTAAAACAGAAAATTAGCTTTTGGAAATTGCAAAATTGACGATGAAAATTGAAAATGCGGAATAGTGTTGCACACTGAGTTTAAATTTTCACAGAAAATTCCACTTTTTGAAAATTAAAAGATGATTGGTAAAAATTGAAATTGAAAAGAAGTGCTGCGCACTGAAAACTAGATTTTCACGGAAAATATTTTGGAAAATGCAAAATGACTAATAAAAATTAAAACTGAAGAGATGTGCTGCACACTGAGTTCTCAGTTTTTCACAGGAAATATAATGGTTTTGAAAATTGCAAAAATAAATGATAAAAACCCAAACTAATAAGCTGCACATTGAGTTCTTGATTATTCATATATTCTAGTTATTCACAATTGCAAAAATGAACTATAAAAAATGAAAATGAAAATGAAATGGTGCACAGCAAATTGCTGATTTCTCAATCAAAAGCATATGAGATTTTTGGAATTGAAAAAATGTCAAAATGAACAATATAATTTATATTTATTGAAGCTATATGGATTCTTGGAGTTTCTGAACCAGAAAATGCAGGAGAATTCCTCGAAAAACGCAAGTAAACTTATTTTTGAGCACTGAGTTTTTGAACAAGAGAATATTGAAAAAAATGTCTGTAGAAAAGCACAAAAACAGATTTTTGAGGGAATTTTGCAGCCAGTGTTTCCCAAGCTCTTTGTAAAACTACCCCTCCTCTAAACCTGTCTCTCCTTTAGTTAAAGTGCAAAAACTTTTTTCTAGCCGAGTGACAAATGCGTTTCGTACAATCAAGGACTATGGGCAGTATAGATTGAAACGCGGCAAAGCTTCTTGCAGGATGTAGAAAAACCTTCGATGTGTGCAAATTCCATATTGAATTACCCTACAACAAGCAAAGGGAAAGAGGGAAAGGGTGGAAAGGGAAAGAAGGGGTCTGGGGGCCATATTGCATGATATAAGGGGTTATTGTGCAAGAAAATGGCGCTAGGAAATGGTGCAAACTCCCTACAACTACCAGTAATGGGGAAATGTACAGATTGACCAAGGAAGGAAGAAAATTTCGGTGGTACTTCTGGAAAATGGTTATGACCGCGCTTTCCTACCCTGACAGCCACGAAAAGCAGAAAATGAGTAATTGAGTAAAACATCTTTTAACCAGACCTCAATGAAAAGAACAGGTAGCTGATTTGGTAAAGGTTCCTGCACGGAATGTCACACAAGGAATTATGTACATAGTGATAATTCACTGCAAAGAAAATTACGTGGAAAATGCGATCTAATCAGCCTTATCAGTAGATTAATTGTCACTTTCTGCCAAGTAAACATACCATTCTCCCTGGAAAAATATTGGTTTTCATTGACGAGAAAAATCGCAGAATTTTCTTAGCGAATTTCCAACCGACTACATCGATTTTTCTAGGATATTTCTTTGCAGCAAATGTTGTTGGCGATTTGTCAAGGCGAAAATATATGGAGGAACAGCTGCTGTAGCTTAAGAAATGATAACAAGAAAATGTTTGGCTGTTCAATGGCAGAGAGATGGCAAAAATAATTATCAAGGCTTACCTCAAACCCATGAATAAAAGCATTATAAAAATGACGACAATGATAAAATTGTTTATTGAGTAATTCAGAAAGGAAAAAAAAGCAAACAAAAGAGGAAGGTCATTCACGATCGTGCGAAAAATTAAAAATAAAATAGTAAAATTTTATTTTACAACAAAATAAAAATAACAAACAGAAGCAAATTGTAAGTAATCTCAATGATTATATGATAACAGATATTGGTAGATAAGAAGCAGAATGGAGAAAAATAATTCCTCAAGCTCTTTTCCACCAACGCCTTTGCGTCATTTACAAACATGACTGCTCCTCTCCTCTGGAATTTGAAGAATTTTCCTTCCCCCTCATTACTCATAAGTGGCCATTAGAAGATTCGAAAAGTCGAAACAATGCAAAGAAGAAGATTTTCTCGAAAGAAACAATGCGTTGTACGAAGTTTTCGCATAGATGACACATGTGTGATGCATGACTGCTGTACGGATCCTATATTATTACACTGACCACACTCATTTCTTTGCGGTGACAATAAAGATTGCTCAAAAGCTAGCAAGATGCTATAGATCATAAAAAAAAGTACTTGATATTTTGATGCTAACATAAGATATTACACAAATTGAGCGAGCACATGTTTGTTTTCTATTTTTTGTATTTGCAACAAAGATAAATATTCGAAAATTTCGGTGTTCAGTAATCAAGATTGCTAGTATCTCTAGCAAACTTCTTACCAATAGAAATAAAGTGCATAAAGATAAAAATCGAAATGACTGACTTGGTGCGAAAGTTCTGTTGCACCAATTTCATACGTTTTATTTAAAATACCTAAAGGGTCTTCGTTTATCAATTTGTTAGAGTAGGTTGAAAGACTTAAATTACAAACGACTGAACTTCACTGCAACGTTTTCTATCCAATATTCCATTTTTTCGATTTTTCTTAAATTCCTCTGTCATTAACATCTGTTACAGATGTTGGTAGTAGATTTCAGATGCTGTTACAAAGCACATTTTTCACTTTCAAGAAATCGGTTGGGACATTAAGAAGCGATGTTTCAAATATCGAACTATTGTGTCAACCTAAAATAACAAAATTATGTTTATGAAAAGCATCAAGCAACAGATTTTCTTCTAGCTGCTTCAGAAATTTGATAGTAGAAATATAAAAATAATCAAGGAAGAAGTCAGAATGCAAACCGAACAGAATGCTTGAGTGTGAGAAGAAAAGCAAAAATCAAATTATGGTATTCCTTGCATAATTTTTGATTCCTCCTTCAAATTTTCCTTCCCATTCAACCCAAATTTGAAACTTATAGATTATGTAGTCTTTACTTTTACTAGGCAGAGTCACGTGTCTTCTAACTCTATCGAACCAGTCAACCTTGTTATTATCTTTACAGTCAGTCATTCCATTCAAGCAAAAAAATTCTGCATAAAAGAAAATCACGGAACATTATTTGAGAACAGTTCACTTTTGTATACAAAAAAGAAAAAGTTATGGAAACGATAGAACAAATTGTTGGGACGCTATGAGCG